GTTCCGCTGAGCAAAAATATTTTGAGATAATTAAGAAACTTAGAATCTCAGGAAGACAAAGCGAATGCACCTGAGGTATTGCGAACGATTCTGAGCCCAGTCACTCAAAGTCTCAAATAAAATGATCAGTCTAAAAAATGTTAGACCTTACTATAATCAACTCTAGTATGTCCATGATGAATCAGTCAGTCAGCAACAACGTAGAACTTTGTACGTACGTACATCAGTTCAAGGTGCCATACCGCATTAGCAGAGACACAATTGTCGATTCAAATTCCATAGTGGTAGAGGTAGTAAAAGTATAAGCAGTAATCGAAAAGATTAGGGTTTGATGTTATTCAAGTAGTATAATTCAGTGAAATAAATTTGGAAAGAGAAAAAATGGACAAAGAACTCGGAAGACTAGAATTTAAGAGAACACGAACAGTGAATGTACCTGCGCCATCGCAAATGATTTTGAGCCATGTCATTCAAGGTCTACTCGATTCCCCCATTTATGAATAGTGTAAGCGTTGGTACAGACCAGTTCCGAAGCAACATTTGGGATTTGACGAAAGTAAAACATCTCAAGATTACAGGAACACCTTGCTAATAAGTGCCAAATAGTACGAAACCTAGGTCCATGGTTTCCTGTCGACTACCTCCAACCACTATCTCTCACCATAGCGTACATGATGTCCAGTAACCTAGACTAGTGGCCGCATTGCAACTCAGTTCAAACAATTTGATATGTACTGAGAACCTGACAGACTTAGTATTGACCGGCGGTAAGGCCCTTTGAAGAACGGAGCTAACACGTCAAAAATCTTCCACAAAAAGGCCGTGCGCGACCGGCCTCAAGCAGTTGTCCCTTGGGCTCTGCGGTCACGCTCCCAGGTCGTCAAGACCAACACTAATCCAATTTCCTTTTCAGGTTCCTCAAGAAATACCCTTCCACGGTGTGGGCAGCCGGGAAGTGATATCAGCCCTCATACCCGTAACAGCACAAGAGACCAAGGTGGTCACATTCAAATCTTTCCTACACCTAATACCTCTCTTATCTCCCCGACTAACCCTCCCCACGTCTCTTTATCACCTCGCACCGCTAGGGCAAACGATTCGAGTACGTGGAACGCCATTCCTGGTCTCCTGAAACCACGCTCTAAACTACACGTAGGAGCTTTTAACGTACGAACACTTTGCCAAATAGGACAGCAGGCTTCCTTAGCTAAAACTTTAGAATCTCGCGCCATCGATGTGTGCTGCGTCTCCGAAACGCGCATACAGGATCCAAGTAGCGTCATTCATTTGACCTCACCATGCCAAAATAAAGAACCGACTCGATTTACGCTTCGTGTATCTGGGAGCCCTGATTCTGCTTCCCGTGGCCTCGCTGGCGTAGGTATAGCATTGAGTCCTAGGGCAGAACTAGCTCTCTTAGAGTGGATCCCAGTAGACAGTCGTTTGTGCGCTGTCCGACTGAACGGAACAGTAAGAATCCGGAAAGATAGGGACACTCGTCGTTGCCTCTTCGTCGTCTCTGCCTATTCTCCCACTGACTGCAGCTCAGATGATGTAAAAGATGAGTTTTACAGAAAGCTTTCGGACCTTCTCCGAAAAGCTAGGCGCTCGGATGTAGTATTAGTGGCCGGTGACTTTAATGCTCAAGTAGGTAAACTAAGCGATAGGGAAAGACACCTAGGTGGATCTTATGGTGTCGTGACTCAAAGAACAGATAATGGCGACCGTCTGTTGCAGCTATGCTCAGATAACCGCCTGTTCCTTGCAAATACTAACTTTAAACATAAGGAAAAACATCTTTTAACATGGCGACCCCCTAATTCGTCCCAACGTTGGACCCAAATAGATCACATCGCTATCAGCCACCGATGGAGGGGCTCGATAGAAGACTGTCGCTCATTCTGGAGCACATGCCTAGATTCAGATCATGCTCTAGTGCGAGCGCGTATTTGCTTGCGTCTTACTGGACGTAGGAAAGACGCTGCAAGAAAACCTCTTAGGGGCCTACTTAATGATAGTCAAGCTAAGAGTATATTTCAGGAACAACTAGGAAAACAGTTAGGCAGCCATGTATGTGATGCCCACCCCGATGCAGCATGGAATGATATCCGAAAAGCTGTGGAAACAGCAGTGATATCTGCTAGTAAGGTAAACCAGAAGGTTAGGGAGCAACACTGGATCTCAGCAGCATCTATCTCACTGATAGATGCTCGGAAACTCATTCCACCTGGCTCTGAACATAATGAAGAGCGGAGTCAGCTTAAGCGCAAGCTGACCAGAAGCCTACGCAATGATCGCGAACAGTGGTGGGTGGCGAAAGCAAGAGAGATGGAAAAGGCAGCGGCAATAGGTAATAGCAGACAATTGTTCAGACTTGTTAAGGAAACCGGAATTAGGAACCCGACCGTTAGCGAAACAATCTCAGAGAAAGATGGACATATTATTCATTCTCAATCCAGGAGATTGGATCGATGGGCAGAACACTTTAGGGATCAGTTCAACTGGCCTTCAGCCACACTTCGGTTTCCCACGATCTCTAGTCAACCTGAATGGCAAGTTAGTGTAGGTCCTCCGACTTTTTACGAAGTTGAAAAAGCCATAGGAAATCTAAAACGAGGGAGAGCAGCAGGCCCTGACAGGTTTACTCCTGAGATTTTTAAGGATGGTGGTCCAGTATTAGCAATGAGATTAACCGAGGTCTTAGGTAGAATTTGGGAACTGGACGTAATCCCATCTGACTGGTCTCAATCACTGATTGTGCCAGTCTATAAGAAAGGACAAAAGTCCTCTTGTGACAATCACAGAGGAATCAGTTTGACTAATATAGTGTCTAAAATATTAGCTTCAATAATACTTCGACGCCTAACTAAGGCTCGTGAAGAGCAGACTAGAGAAAACCAGGCCGGTTTTCGACCTGGACGTGGTTGTATAGATCAGATATTCACACTACGTCAGGTTCTAGAACACAGACACTCGTTCAGACGCCCCACAATAGTAGTATTTCTCGACCTTAAGGCGGCATTCGACTCTGTTGATCGTGAGGTTCTATGGCAGTGTTTGTCACTGAAAGGAGTACAAAAGAAGTACATTAACCTTATAAAGGCTCTCTACTCGAACACAACTGGTCGAGTGAGAGCTTATGGCGAACTGTCATCAGAATTGATTACCTCAAGTGGTGTTCGTCAGGGCTGTCCACTCTCCCCTTTCTTGTTCAACTTTGTGGTCGACGTACTTTTAGAGATAACACTTTCCTCATCTAGACTTCCAGGGGTTGAACTTCTACCGGGAGGTTCACTTGTTGACTTAGAATATGCAGATGACATAGTTTTATTTGGTGAAGACGCTGACAAAATGCAGAGTCTTCTGACCACTCTAAGCAACAATGCAAGCATGATCGGGATGCGATTCTCTCCCTCGAAATGCAAAATGTTGCTTCAGGATTGGGTTACATCGACACCCGAACTAGTGATAGGGAGTGAAGTAGTTGAGTGTGTCGACCGCTTCACTTATCTTGGAAGTCTCATCAGCCCTTGTGGTCTGGTGTGTGACGAAATCTCAGCACGGATACAGAAGGGTCGACTAGCTTTCGCCAACTTGCGTCATTTATGGCGTAGGCGAGATATCCGTCTATCAACCAAAGGACGTGTTTACTGCGCAGCAGTTTGTTCCGTCCTACTTTATGGCAGTGACATATGGCCGGTAAGAGTAGAGGATATCCGTAGGTTACTAGTATTTGATCATAGGTGTCTTCGAAACATTGCTCGTATATCATGGGACCATCGAGTAAGTAACACAGTTGTTAGGAAACGGGTACTAGGTAAGGATGGCAAATCAATTGATGAAGTAGTGAAACTTCATCAGTTGAGATGGCTGGGACACGTGTTACATATGCCCAACGACCGACTGCCTCGACGTGCGATGTTCAATAGTGTAGGAGTAGGTTGGAAGAAGGCTAGGGGCGGCCAGACCAAAACATGGCACAAGTCCATGAAGTGGACTGAGCCATGTTGTTAGGTGTAGACTACCTGGTTGGGGACCGCGAGATGATAGCAAACTATGGTTAGAGGCCCTGAATGACATGGCTCAAAATCGTTTGCAATGGCGCAGGTGCATCCACTCTCTGTGTTCTCCCAAATTCTAATCTTCTGAATTCTTCATGTCCCTTTTTTCCTCTTTCCAAATTTATTTCACTGGATTATACTCTTTAAATAACATCTCCAAACCCTAATCTTCCCGATTACTGCTTATACTCTTATTACCTCTACCACTACGAGATTTGAATCGACAACTGCATCTCTGTGCTAATGTGGTGTGGCAACTCGAACTGATGTACGTACGTACGAAGTTCTACGTTGTTACTGACTGACTGACTGACCACTACCCATTGATCAATCAACTAGAAGTATGAAGAGGTAGCTTGACTTTTGTCAGTTTACACTACCATTGATTCAGGCGATATATTTGTCTACTGGTTGGCTTAACAGCTAGTTGACGGAAGGCCGAAGGTATTTGGAGCAAGATATCACACTATGAGGTCACTGACCATAGATGAACAGAAACATTTTTTGGTGTTCATGGGTTGGTATTAATCAGTATTTGATGACTAGGTCATACCTTTAATTCCGTTACAGCCGTGTATTAATTATTTTTAATTCTTTAGGTCTTGAAATTCGTAATACTCTACTTTGTCCCTCGATTTTTCTTGTTTATTTTGGATAAGTTTATTTACCAACCATAACATATGTAATTATTTTCACTCATTGGTTTTTCTCGTAGTGATCTGCTTCCGCTTCATTGAAAAATTGAAGTGATGCGAATTTATGGCAGTCTCTACTTGATTTGTCTGTTTACCAATTATAACGAAAATATTTACTTGGGACTGTATTTTAAAGTGTTGTTAGTGTTTTTTAAGACCTAATTTATCCAACTTATCTGTTTTTTTCTTCACGTTGACAGATTTGTGGTGAAATTGGATTGCCTTTTGTATTCACCGGATAAAAATGGACGTAAGGTTTTATCGTTTATCATCCATTTTTGTCATGGGCTTTTTATTTATCAGGGATGTAGATTTCGTTTTGCTATAAAGCCTTGAATCGGCATTTCGCTCAGGCGATTAACTCTGTTCATTGATCTTAGCTGACACGACAACTACATGAAGATGGAAAGCATGGGTATAACTTCAACTCTAGTATAATAGTCCATCGATTTCAGTTTTCTATAAATGTCTTAAGGTTTATGTATCGTTCCACTGTCCAAATTTTCTTTCAGTATTCAGGGTGTTTGCGTAATATAATTTGATTTATATCAGTCCTAGGTCTCTCTATTCATTAGGTATGTACTACGAACGTCGTCCCAGCGAGTTTCACATCGTGGATTATTAATTGTCAGAATAACGATGCATGTGAAATAAATAGGTTGGATAGAGATGAAGTCCAATTGCTTGTTAATCAACATTTGCCGTGTGGTAGCTAGTTAAATACCATCTTTTTTTATATCGGCTGTTCTTATTAGCCCATATATAAGAAAGAGAGAATAAGTTGTCGATAGCATTACATATGTTAGAAACAGGGCAGAAGATCAATTTCGAAGGAACCAAAATACTTCAGAAAGGTTTTGGCACATAATGAAAGATTGACTGCAGAAGCGCCGTATATATGAGCTAATAAAAACAGCCGAAATAAAAAAAGATAGTATTCAACTAGCTACCACACGGCAAATGTTCATTAACAAGTAATTGGACTTTATCTCTATCCAACCTATTTATTTTAAATGGATCGTTATTCTGACAGGAATTAATTGGGATATTGTGCCACTAAAATTATGTGTTTGATGGTTCTTATTTTGTATACACATCGACGTTTCAAAAAACATTTTAACTTTGCACTTTTGATTTCTACTTCCAACGAAAACAAATTAACACCTAATATCAACTATTAATAACTCAAACTTACACACAATCATTCATTTGTTTATCTTCATATTGTGAAATTTTCACATGATTCGCATGTAACTGATTCATGTTATCCTTCTTACTAAAGTCAATATCTGGATATGATTGGATAAGCACAGTAAAGTTTTGACTTGATTGTTAAACATAATATATTTCTCTGATAGTTTTGATTTCAATAGTTACCCTGAAGAAGTCCAAACAATTTTGCTGGACGAAACGTAGTAATTATTTAGACTTCAATTTCTGGGATTATTTCAAATATTATTTTCACAGATCCTAATAATACAGACGATGTGTGATAGTGAAAGTAAATGTTGTTGGTCACTAAATATGCACAAAGAGGCACGCAAATTACTGATGATTATTCATGTGATTCCTTTTCCGCTCATTGATTTCTACTCCGAACTCACTGAGATTGCTTATAATTGTGTGTAATAAAGTATTTCTAATAGTTGAATTCATGAGTCTATCTAAACTAGACCACCAATGACAAGCTGGAAGCACTGGACGGCTATTTCGTCCTAGTATGCGAGACAGACGGTCCTGGGCTCGAGTCATATGTAGTGTCAGTTATTATGTTAAGCCCATATACTTTATTCTAGCCTTCAGACAGCCCAATCTATTCATTCTACCTGAGTCATATTTTGACCTTGTCAATTATTCGCTTATCAATCCTGACTGTTTTTATATGAGCGTATATGAGTGTACTTTTCATATCCCATGACTCTCACATGTCTGTAGTTTATTTTTGTCTGCCTATAAATATTGAGTAACGCCTGGCTAAAAATGAGTTGGCTTACCAGCTATCTCCACTGCGCGTCATTTTGCTTTGTTCTATTGCCTTCACTTTATGTACAAAATATGTGTATTCAAAGGCCATTCTCGTTAATTGACTTATCTAAATTCCGTTATTGACTAACGTGATTCAAGTCGATGATTGTATACGAGGATAGGTGATAACAAACATACGATCTACACGGAGTCAGATCCACGGGCCACTAAATTGGTGAGCCCGACGTGATAAATGATGCAGCATGCGGTTATACATGTGGAAGAATAGATAAGACGTAATAGTTTCGAATCAGCTAGTTAGAGGCATTCACAGACATAATAGGAGGCGATTTCGAAATGAAAGATGTATGTTGTGATAACATAACATAATGACCTCGACTAAGTGAATGAATGTAATATTAGGTCAAAATGACATGAAAAATTGGAACGAACTCACTTAAAGCAGGAAAATTTTACGTTTTTGAATAACGAAAATATAGTCCAATGAGTTTCGAATGACATAACGTGGAGTTTTCATAAAATGATAATTTGTTCGGTGAGTGATATGATTGCGAAAATGTCATAATTTAATGACAGCACGAACAAGATTAATAATTCCACATTCGGTCATGATATTGACAATAATGTAATAGTAAGCATATAATGATAATTTGAATCGTAATGGAACAATCCGATAAATGGGTCAATGAGAATAGTTGACATGAGTACAAATTATCGATAAGATAATACGACTTGAGCATGTCCATACCATGATGCACAGGTTTTGCTGATTGCGTCGGATTGAAGATTGCGCTGGCTTCGCTGAATTTGTTCGTCGAAAGTACTGAGTGCAAAAGTTCCTTCATCGACGTAGCTTGCTGCGTTGCGTTCGTCGGCGGCGGCCTTACCAATTTAGTGGCCCGTGGATCTGACTCCGTGTAGATCGTATGTTTGTTATCACCTATCCTCGTATACAATCATCGACTTGAATCACGTTAGTCAATAACGGAATTTAGATAAGTCAATTAACGAGAATGGCCTTTGAATACACATATTTTGTACATAAAGTGAAGGCAATAGAACAAAGCAAAATGACGCGCAGTGGAGATAGCTGGTAAGCCAACTCATTTTTAGCCAGGCGTTACTCAATATTTATAGGCAGACAAAAATAAACTACAGACATGTGAGAGTCATGGGATATGAAAAGTACACTCATATACGCTCATATAAAAACAGTCAGGATTGATAAGCGAATAATTGACAAGGTCAAAATATGACTCAGGTAGAATGAATAGATTGGGCTGTCTGAAGGCTAGAATAAAGTATATGGGCTTAACATAATAACTGACACTACACACACACATGCTGGATCGTAAACGTGCACTGCTCTAGGGTTTTCATCACGAACTGATATTAGTTAAAATAGCAAAACGCCATTTAGCCGAATGGATGAATGGATTTCATGCCAAAACCCAGGACCTAATGTCCTAGATCTGATTGGTGCGTTCATAAATTATAGTCTCACTGGCTTTCGTTGACATTACGTATCAACATAAGTTGTACAATCCCTAAAAACCTTAGTCCACTGTACAACTGTTCCTTTCTAGTATGGAACTCGTCATCAGTGATCATCCACGACGTCATCACAGGGGACCTAAACCAAGATCATTGGCTTTGTGTGCGAGTTCTTAACCTCTAAACCACTGACCCTGGGTCCGATAGTATATAAATAATACAGTGGGTCAATCAAAAATCTCCGAATGAGAAGACCACTTTGAGCCAATCAAGAATTTCACAATCGACAAATGCATGTTATTGGACGACAAACGATTTCGTTTTCTAAGGAATAGATACATAAATGAGTGCTTATGCATAGGATTCGGTTTAGCCCAATAAACTTCTCTCCCCACTCATATTCTTATTTAGTCTCCGGTCGGGGCTTGGATATGGAAAGTCTATGTGTCTATCAGATTCGGACACCACGCATCATAACAATAAGTCTAACTTCAATCTTTTGCTTGTGTTTGTCTGTGTATCACGGTTTTCAATATGCCGTAGATTTTATACAGTCTTAAATTAAAAGTTTTCAGTTATTAGTTTTTAAATACCCCTGTTTTTGAATCGATATCACTTCATCTCTGTTGTGTTGAGTGTTTTCGTTTTTCACAATACGCAAAGTTAAATTGTTTTATACATTCTACAGAATCTTTTACAGGAAAATCACAGTCTATTAAAGAAATTAGAATTGAAAAAGGAAATGGAAGCAGCTTATCTCGATGAAATCGAACAACTTAGATCAGTAATTACTCGATTACAACAAGAAAAGACGTCGATTTCAACTCCACGTGTTGATGACAATTCGTTATTGTTGTATAACTTAGAAGGTCGTGTTGAAAAATCTGAAGAGAAAGTTGCGCTACTTACCAAAGAGCTTGATTTAGCCAAAAAACGTGAAGCTGATCTACTGGAACAGTTAAATAGTTTTGTAAATAAAGTGGATAGTATTTCTGAAGTAAGTTTACGTTGATCTTGTTCTTTCTCACGTGATGAACTACTGTTGTTAACCACTATTCTTATTCTTATAGTTAAGTTTCTTAAGATTCCCGCCTGTCGTGGGGCGACTAATTGAACCATCTTAAGGTTAGACGCAGGATACTGAGTAAAGATGGGAAATCGGATGATGAAACAGTGAATTTTTTATTGACTGAGGCGGTTAGGTCATGTATTACATATTTCTGACCATCGCCTACCTGGCTAACGTAAGTATAAGTTGAAAGGAAAATGTGGGTAGCCAATTCAAGACATGGGATTAGTCCATGAAGCTATTAGCAATTGAACTGAGTTGTGTTGGTTGGTCCAGACTACCTAGTTATGGTCGTCTACTCAATAACCACGTTCAATAGTCTTTGGGTAATATGTCTAACAATTGATCACAAACCTACAAATGAATTCATTCGTTATCTTATTCTAGATTATGAGTTTCATTTTTCCATCATACACACCTTTTAATTCTATATTCTTGAATTACATTCTCAATGTTCATTATTCCACGTAATGATTGTTATTACATTATTTCAATTCGTTTACTATTCATTGTCATTTCTCATCTCGTCGTATTCTTGTGGTCCGGCAGCGTGGCACAACGCAAATTTATCCTAACCTCCATGTTGATTATAACTGACTGCTGGCTAATTAAATTTGTATTTGACAGCTTATATCTGTGTACTCGAATACCTATGTAACTATTGTTTGATTAAATTCCTGATAGTATTGATTCTGTTTATTCGTCATGCGTTTCTCGTTTTGCTGCTTTACTTTCATTCTGTTAATATAAAGTGTGGCAACTTAAACTAATGTATCATTTTTGTCGCGGCCCTCATTTTGTTTATATTTGTCTAATGCCATAATAATCCCGTATATTGTATACGAATAGCTGCTTAGAATCAAGTCAGTAGGTTTTTTCTCCTGTCAGTTTGATATTTAGATTACTTCATCATTCTTAGGTACTTATGATTAGATATTTTCCCATAAATGAAAAGAATATATTGAGTTTCCCGTTAACCAGTAGTAATTTGTCTGGTTTATTCACATTTACATACAGAATTGATGAAGCATGAAGGTTTTAAGTGGTTTGATTAGCGTTCTGATATCTGAAATTTGTTAATAATTGTGGAATTTTTTGTATTATACTGTGATATATTTAATGTTTACAGTTATTCTTTTGCAATTCATAATGTATTTACATGCCGTGTTTAATAATATGGTTATTGTAAATTGTTTATTCTCATTACACTATTTTTACCTTGTAGTCAATATAGAATGAGATTTTAAGGAATATGACGTTTTCTTTTTCAGTGTTCTATAACTGTTCCTGAACCACATAATTCTTTGGTGGAGGAAATCAATCGGTTGAAAGAGGAACTATCCAGCAAAGAAACTTCTAATCGTCTTGAACAATCAAAATTAACTCGTCAAATCCAAGAATCAGAGGACGATCGTCAAAATTTACAGGATTATATAATTGAATTAGATCGTCAGTTAAAAGTGAGTATGAATATGTACAAATTAATTATATGATATTTATTTTGCGATTTAGTTGTACTACACAAAGCGTTACGTTAAGATGTGTTATTCATATGACCAACCGCCTCTTACCTTAACTTATGATATTTACTTATTTAGGAGTGGGTTGTAAGGATCTTAGAGATGACAGAACCACGTTATGGGGTCAGTCCATGAAGTTGCTGATTATCGAATTAAACCGTCCTGGCATATACAAACTATCAGATTGGTGTCCGCGCGACTGTTGTAGCTAATGGTTGGGGACGATGGGTAATGTGTCCCAGAATCGACTGCGCTAGCTTAGATGCAACATTGTGCTACATTTTTTTTATTTCACAAACTCGTTCTTCTCGAACCTCATTGCTTATACCTGATATTCTCTACTACTACTACTGCTACCACTTCTGCTACTCTGGGATATATCTTGACAGTTTTATCTCGCTGCACTGATGCGATGAGGCAACATGAGCACCGGATCGTATTTGTACCAGGTTTTATGTTGCTTATGACATACAAAGCGTACATGCCAAACATGGAAACTATGCACTACAATGTGCTATTTCGAACTTATTAATTTCTGAAAATAGCATTTGTAGAAGTGAGTTAACCTACAAGTTTTATTTTTATAAGAACAAACTTCTAATCTTTGTCAAGATATCACAGAAGCAATGAGTCTTGTTTTGCCATACGACTCTGAGATTTTGTTTTTGTCATTTGATATATATTTTGGAAATTATGGTTTTAAGTATCCATAAAACGTGATAAACTAACTCTATGCTATACCAAATTCTACTTAGTTGTTTTAGAGTTGTTAAGGTAATTATAAAATGAACATCTAAATAATTTATTGAGAAATAATTAAAATACTCCTGGATTTTATTTATCATAGATTAGATAATATCTGGTTCTCATTTTCAAATCGAATTTCAATGGTTACATTCTACTAATTTTAGCCTCAATGAATATTAATTCATACTATTTTATGCTTATTTCTTAATTAGGATTGTCGATTAGAATTAAATGATACTCAAGCTCAACTAGAAGCATTACAAATTCAATCGAATTCTACAGAAAGCACACGAGGGAATTCAGTATTTTCTGAAGTTAGTTTGTGTAAAATACTATTTTTAGTCATATCAACTATTGTTTCCATCATTTATTTATTTATACACATAAACATTGGCACAAGGAGACACCAAGTATATATGCTCAACAATTCGTCACTCGATTTGTGTTAGGGTTGGAGTACTGCCCGGACGCCCAAACCAAAGCAGGTGGTTTTCTTAAGGGAATTAGAGGTTTTCCAACTCCCCTAGGTGGATCCTCTGTACCCACCAACCCAGACATTCTCCTTCCGTCCTCTCAATTTTGTAGACAACAGTAATGCCGCGAGAAGGCAGTGAGTAGGACTTTCCTGGCAGTGGCCCTATACGCGTGGCCGTACGAAAGAAAGCATTTCAAGAGGGATAGGTGACTCTCCCTACCCTCAGATGTACCAGGTCATTTAGGGGAATTTCCATCATATACATATGTATAGGGGCACACATAACTGCTTCTTGAGCATTTGGTTTCTTAATTTTTGACTATGTTATTACATCATGCACTGAATAGTTTAGTCAAGGTGTTATCTAATAAACATATACAAGTAACTATTTCTGCACAATTTTATAAAGACCTTATATTCCGAAAAGTAGCTTTTAAAAAGACACTTATCGATTATGGTTTCTGTCGGCTAATTTAGAATTAGTGAATTTGTTCAGATTTGGGCGACAATCTCTAGCCATCACTTTACAATCTTAACATGATGCATACGACGTCAAGTCACTTAGACTAGCTAGTGACTGTATTGCAACTTGATTGGTACAATTTGATCAGTAGTAAAAGGAACTTCGTATATATAACTGTTAGGTCCCGATAAGCATAATGAATGGTAACTTTTGGGATCCATTATGGACCAATACTATACGTATATTTTTATCGCATAATTGTTATGTAACTAAACTATTGATATCCGTGTCCTACTTATTATGAGCTTTGTTTTGACCTATGAACTATTATTATACCATTTACCATTCTTGAATTATGCCCTGTCTATTAATTACTACCTCTCTCATTCACAGCCACATTAGGCTAATACTTGTACAAATGTTGTTTCATATTTTATTGGTACGATGTGGTCTGTTTGATTGGTATATAAACCGAGTATGTTTGAAATACATGATTCATATAGCGGAGGCTCGAATTGGTGTTCTGAACTTAACTGGCTGGGTTAGACAGGAAGCAAGACCAATAAGGACTATAGGCTGCTCTCACGGGTTTTACGCGTCATCGATCCGATCGATAAGTCACTGCTTTCTAATCGGCGGTCACAAGTTATAACAATAACACTGGTTCACTACTCAGCGAAAATAACATATATTATTACAATATCATGAAAAATATCTAAATTGACCACTTCATACTTATTGGTAACTTTATTTTGCAATGCAAAAACACTACCTACAGTCTGATAGATTGATGTTTGATATGTTTAATATACTATCGCCAATGAAAACAATCTTTGTTCATAAATTATGCATTAAGTTATTCATATATTTGTATTTCATAAGTGATAAGTTTAACATTCAAATTCTGACGACATTACATGTTTGCTTGAAACATGTAAAAATTTGCCTCAATATATAATGATGATAAATGATGATAATCACTTCTTATTGTAGTTTATAAATCATTAGTTTGTGAACTATTGGTCAGTTTACTATTATTACTTCCAAACATTGGAAGTAAACATATGTTATCTTAGTGATTCAGATGTGTTTCACGTGCATGCGTTTCCTGTAAATTGTAGTAGATATGTCATATTATTACCTTTGTTATTGTTGTTGTTGAGTGCAAATGCTTGAAATAGAACATTTTAATAATTTATATCTGTTTTCCTCCAACCCCATAAAACACCAAATACCAATGAGCAGCACAATGTTGAGTCTTGTAATTTGTCAAACTTGATCGGTGAGATTTTAACAGCATTTGTGAAGAGTTGGGTAACTTAACTATCGGTAAATGAACAGTAACCATTTTGGGAATGCTAGATTCCCAAATATCGCTTGGTAATTTTATTTCGAAAATTTAAATCTATTTTCACACCAAAGGCACCCACTTTTACTTTCAGTTTATTTTTCCCACTTGGGAGAACCTTGAATGTCATTAGTTCGTTTCATCTTTTAGTACTTCGTTTTGTGACGTTTACAAGGACATTTTTGTACTGTATATATACACATGAGTTGTGTACTTTGTTCGTTCGTCCTTCTGGCTGTTTGTGGAATAAACTTTTTCTTCGACTGAATCTGGTCTTCTCCCCCTAGCTAGCAGGGCTGGTGCGAAGTGCAATAGTTTGGCTTGTCCTGTTATTGTGTTGCTGACTTTCGTTCCGTTCGCCAGTTTATGTGATATCGTCATCTCTTCAAACGTAACAAATCAGTCAGTGAAGCGTTACTTTTTTTCTTAGGTGTTTGATTAATTTCAACACTTTAGGAGTGATTTCTTGTTTATCGAATAAAGCCATTATTCCTATTATTATTATTACTATTGTGGAAGATCTAAGTAGTCAAGTCTTGCTCATGGAGAAAGTTTGCTTGTTCTTATACCAACCTTGAATAGTTTTTCACATTTCCAATTTTTAAGGATAACTTTAGTGCTTCCATCCTATATGACACCGTAGTTATGGTTTTAGGTCTAAACAGTTGAATGTTATTTTCGACATACATGATCGTAAATAAAACCAGTTAAGTTCTTTTTTTTTGAGAAATAAAGCAAAACGAAGTCTCTTAGTAGTTGAAATTTATTGATAACGCAGCATGATGTTGGCAGTTTCGTGTGCATATTCCTTAAGTTTCAATATTTGATTACAAAAAGTAATATATTTCATTTGTAAATAGGTCAAGTACTTGCACTACTCGTAAATGATTAAACAAAAGATTATGTTGTATACTTCGGTAAATTTTAGATTGAAGATCGACGTATTCGTGCTGAACAAATTGTTATTAAACAAGGAGAACAAATTAATGAATTAAAATTACGTTTACGTCAAACAGAAACTGATGCTAAGCGTAAATTAGTAAGTTAGAAAAGTACGTTAAATTAAAATAGCTTGTTTTTCACTAAAATATCACTTTCTAGATTATTCTAGTTATGGACTACACTAATTTTGCTAAGAGGGTACACTTTTTATACTTGATATTCATCATATCATACTTAAAAAGATACTTTAAAAATATTTTTACAACTTTGTCTAATTTTTTATTTATTTATGAAAAGAGTGTATTTCACGGAAGAGCTGGATGCAATTGGAAGCATTGTTTGGAAATAATTATAATGTTGCGTATAGAGCTTGAATTGTTTGTCTTTTAAGCATCACATCTCACGAGCTTCAGATATTATCAATGGATGCTAAGTAAAATTTTCCTTTAAGATCTGCGTTAAGATTTCATCAGATGTTTGATCCATCGATTGTTCTAACAGTATAAAGTGTTAACTATTACCATTTTTGGTAGAGCACAATCGGCAAAAGAATTATCCTGATACAACCTTGCAAATCCAATTTCAACGTACCTTCATAATAAATAAAAATAATATATTTGTAGTATCCCAATGAGTAGAAAATTAGATTTTCTGATGTTTCGTGACTTAGTGTAAGTCACTTCTTCAGAGAATAAAAAAATGTTCAAACGATCGTTGTATTAAGTAGGGTCTGTTTCCATAAATATTACGAATTTGACGAAAGAACTGTGTATCTTAGTTCAACTGAATTATTCACAGGTTACAGCAATTGACGATTCGGATCTCAACCAATATGAATTATTTCCTACCACTGTGTATCAACAGTTAAGCAAAAGATGGGAGAGGAATAAAAACACTAGTTAAATCTAGTTGTAAATGATTGATCGTACGATATTTCTACTTGTAAAGTTATACCATTAGCCTTTTCAATGCTAAACCTCTTTAGCTTCTCTATGTATTTAGTCATAGCAATTTCTTTTGAAGTGTCCTGAAATCTGATGAGAAAAGGGTACAGTTAACTATCTCCGAGCATGAACTACGGGTTAGTCGGCATTTGTTTTTATATTTTCTTTTCTTTAATATAACCTTGGAGTTGGTGCTGCTAAGTGAATTCAAACTTTGTCAACCATGAATCAGAATTAAAGACAGTAATGAATAGGCCTCCATTTTCGTTTTTACTTTCCTTCCTTAACATCTCAAGGAAATGCATTATTTTGTTATTCTGTGTGACGAATTTCTCGGTCCTTATGTTGTATTTAGTTTACGGTTGTACAAGAGTTTAATTCCATACTCAATTTCGACATCTTATCATGTTATGCAACCCTTCTACACAATTTTTAATCTTCATCTACCATCTTGGTGAATATTCAAGATCTTAACAACTACATCTTCAGTTTCTTAATAATAAATAACACTTTTGTACTTTCATTTTATTCTACCTTACTCTTACTAATACTTAGCAAATCATTATCAAACATATAATTGACAGCTGGTCGATTACCAAGTAATGACTAATATCATATATGTCAAGTCTTTCTTAGTGTTTTATCAATAAAGTTGCAATGTAGCCAGTAATCCAAATGGCTCGATATCGCTTGCACTATGTTGAGTGATTGTTGGATCAGTATAATTCAAACAACACTAAGAAGGACTTGACATACATGACATAGTTGGCAATTACTCAGTGATTAATCAGTTGTGTATGCATCTCAGTCCTACAAGAGGTCAGTTGTGACCCAAATAGCTCTGTAGTATCATCTGTGACTGTGAAGCTGGGTAATATGGGATCGAATCCGCCAGGACACATCAGTTTCCTCAAGATTACTGGTGCACCATACCAAACATCACGATTCTTAGATCACTCATGATCTTTTGTCAACTACCTCCAACCGTCACCTTAAACATATTATTGTTATTTCGAAATATACATATATTCACGATTGTATAACTTGTGAAATAAATTTATTGAAAAGAGAAATATTCACTGGACCAATCTTTCCTGTTTTTTGTGTCTTCTTGGGTATATATTCCTTTTACCTAATACATAAGATGTTCAAGGGGAAATAACTCGAAATCTAAATACATGTTTAGGCGAGACTATGATTTATGGACGAACCAATCAGATTTAGGATATCAGGTCTTGGATTTTGGCGTGAAATTCATTCGTCTAAATAGCGTTTTACTATTTTAGCTAATATCAGTTCGTGATGAAAAACCTGAATCTAATTCCTAACCCTAACCATCAACGGTAAATCATGATTCTAATTCCTAACACTGGTTTATAACTCTCACTTAGTCATAGTAGGTGAACATTCTCAAGGCCACTTTAGCGTCGCTCAAAGGTCGTCCATAAATTATAGTCTCACCACACGTTTATATTGTGAGAAGTATTTAAGTTTCATTCTATATATTAGCTAGACGATAGTTGTTGTGACTTTTAATTAATTATCACGTGACATTCGCCAATCGGAATACGACCTATACAATCTTAGCACTATGCCAAACCAATAACGTATCGACCGGTTTGAGAGGCCTAGAGTCCTTATTGGTTCTCTTCCCTCTTAGCATTGCCAGTTCAGTCCGGAATACCAATATCAGCTTCCACTATAAGAATAATTTATTTCAAAATACCTGGTTCATATACAAGCCAAACAGACCACATCACACCATAAAATAGGAAATAACATTTGTACAAGACCAGACCAAAGAGTGTCAGTGATTGTGGGAGTCTAATTAAGTAGACTGGGCATAACTTAAGAATAGTAAATCATATAATAATAGTCTATAGGTCAAAATAAAGCTTATAATAAGAGTAATATGAATATACATAATCTAGTTACTGAATAGTTATACAATAAGAATGTATGTATAGTATTAGTCCATTAATAGTTCTCAGAAGTTACCGGTAATCTAATCTTCACTAGGGTATAACAATAGTCACCCATAGTTAAGTGGTCTACTGCCTTTATATATGAAAAAAGTTGTTGCGTTGATGATCCGACTCGGTTAAGGATAAATTTTGTATTATATTTAAATAAGTCTTGTCTAATACGATCTAACTTTGCCTGTCAGTTGTGCTATCTTAACAAGATTAATGTTTACTGTTGATTGTATTTCCCTCGGTGTTCACATTTGTTGAATCACCTAAACTATTCTATATATACTTCTGTACTATGTTTTATACAGACAGAATCAGTTCAGAAATTAGAAACTAGGTATCGTGATCGTGATACGAATTTTATTGATGAGTTAGTCGCTGAACGTGAACGTTTAGTTAATGAGAACACAAAATTGAGTTATCAAGTACAACATTTGGAGGAACTACAAGTATGTCTGAAATGTGATTTGGTTGTTTTTGTTTATCAAATAATTTCCACATGGTATGTAACTTCCTGCTAAAAAATAGTAAGTGCTTTTAATGTAGATTATAAGGATTTAAATCATTCCGTTGTCCATACTCTTAGCTGAATTCTTACCAATGCATCCTATGTGGATTGTCCCAATACACCCATGTTGTCACAATTTTTTGCCGAATAGATGGTCTGTGACTAGCAGTGAAATGGAGGACGCGATTTTTGTCCTATTCGGGGCTCGATAGTTGAATGCACACATGTATCCTTGTGTTGATATTCACTCCGGGGCTTGAGCTTAGTGCTTTTCGATTTAGGTAACCAACGCATTACCCACTGAGCTACTAAGTCCGAATATCCAATGGCCTGTGCAATAGTTATGAATTTAATTTAATTTGTAGGGTTTAAATCAACACTAGGATATAGGTACATCCATCTGACGAGTCCCAAATGAAACGAAACACTTCCTGAATTCCACTTATCGCCATAGTTTATTTGTTCCATAAAAATTGGATTGCTTCTGTTTGTCAGTATAGGGGTTATGGAGATTATTAAGTTTTTGATTGAGATCATGAAAAGCCGTGACCAGCGGAGTTAATCCGTGTCGGGTAGTGACAGGTATCTACCTCAGTACAATGCAAGATGGTCGCGCAATTTCGTGGATTGGTTAGTGTTAGACACTAACACCATTGGATACCGGCTCAGTGGTCCAGTAGGTTAAGCGTTCGCGCGCGAGACTGAAGGCCCTGGGTTCGAATCCCGCGGGTGGGATCGTGGATGCGCACTGCTGAGTCCCACAATAGGACGAAACGGCCGTCCAGTGCTTCCAGATTTCCAACGGTGATCTAACATTAATCGGTTCATGATCTCAATCAGAAAGCTTCTGTTTGTAGTTTTTGTTTATCTAAGAATTAATGATTACTAGTTAGACCTCAATTTTCTCTGTATTTTCACCAGTAAATAGGTTAACTATCATTCCTCGAGTTATATTTACCCATACATGCGTAGCCGCAGTAATCGTTTTACCTCCATACGAAATGTATTACGACAAGTGACTATTAGGTGATAGATTATCATCAATTTCAGCTTTAATAGATGAATAGTTGTATAATCAGCGCATATGAGTTTAACTCACAGGTTATCGCATAGAATTACTATATACTACTCAACTACACTCTATTTTATTGTTCATTTCTACTGAGGAAACTTAATAATATCTGCATAAAACTTTCGTTTCATCTGTACAGATGCCATTTTTTTAAAAAAATTTAACCTGTTTTGTTCATATGCATGAAACAGTATTGTTTGACTAGGAATTCTTCATAATACTTAGTTATAAACATTTGCTTTTTTTGCCTTCCTTAACACTACCATATTTATCTTGTCAATATTTTTTATTTAACCTCATTATATTTCCTGTTAAATAGCTAATGACTTCATGATTTTATGTAAATCAAATTATTTATTGTTCTTGAATGAATAAACAATATGTCATAATGTCTAGCTAGTTTAAACTTCTCTTTTGAAAAACTTATTTCTTAAAAAGATCTTTAGTATTATTACCATGTTGATTCTCTATCTATGTTTTCTCTTTATGATTTAATTTAAAGTTGGATCAGGAGCGTGGAGCTTTAAAAATATCAAAGGCATTTAATTTAGAAGGTAACTCACAAGAAGGTGTTATATCGAATTTAGAGTAAGTTTTACTTGTTTAAATTCTAATTATATATATATATATATATATATATATATATATATATAATATTTTACTGTCATTCGAGTCCGCGACTACTATTGTAGGCTTTCTATACGCGTTTCCAAGCGAAGAGTGAGTAGGAAGAGGATAGGTTACGTATCAGTAATCTTGTAACGTATCTGCTTCTCATGGTTCAATACATAGCGCTTTTCCGTTTATGTGGTTAGTGAATGTTGTATAGAAGAACATAATTTTCACCGAGGGTTTCATTTCAAGCTTTTACTTTCACTTTTTTCGCTCTTTATGTCTAAGAGGTTGGTGTGCACTACACTGTCTTGTTCTCAGAAAATATATAAAGGTAGCTTTCAATGATTAAAATGAAATCCCATTGAAAATCATACTATTATATGCAGCACTCACAGTAAGTGAAAGGATAGATGCTCGCAAATGATAGATATCACACTCATTGAAGATTGAAGAAGGATGATTATCTCCACGTGTAAGAAGCTTTTATTGATTAGTCGAATCAATACATTGACAGTCATACAACTAGCTCCCTCAAGAAGTCAGGCCACATTTCAGCTAATAGCTTATGTCTACTTCTTCAGAAGGTGAAGCCGTATCTTGATCGATCGTGTGTGTTGGTTAGCAACTCTCACTCATCATTTGACGTATGTCTAATGGACCTAGGGTATCACCGTTTTTCTTGAAGAGGATGTTTTCTCATTGGATTAAGGTCTGAATCACGAGTCATGAAATTATTAGAAAAACGTTGTTACAAAGTGTGTAACTTCATGTTTGTAGGAAATAGACATCATTTTGATTGCTGGGTTAGTTATTTTTGGTAGATTTTTGTGGCCCTATATCCGACTCCAGTTAAATCATATGCTGATTGCTTGTCGAATTATACATGTCGCCAACCCTCGTATATAATTTATCTGTTTAATTCACGTTAGAAAATAACGGAATACGATAGGCTAAATACGAGAATAGATTTTGAATACGTATATTTCATAAACGTTTTGGCTCAGACAGGAAATCAGAGAAACAAGGCGACGCACAGTGAAGGATGCAAGTGGGCCAACTCGTTCTGATCAGGCATGACTCAATATTTATATGCAGACAAAAATAAGTTACAAACACGTGGTGAATAGGGCAAGCAATTAACATAAATACGATTATATGAAAACAATCGCAGTTAGTAAGTGAATAAGTAGCAAGGTCAAAATGTGGCTTGAAAAGAATGAATAAATCGGTCTGTCCAGAAGCTAGAATAACCTGTGGGTTTGACATAGTACCAGCCACTACAAGCTATTAGCAATATATACTTTAAGAAATATATCAAATTGGGCGGGGGCCAGGAATTGCGTTTCGTTTTATTTGCGACTTAATAGTTAGATGTATCTGCATCCCAATGTTAATATTCATACTCAAACTTAGACTCATTATCGTCCGTTCCAACTCCTTTTTGACTAAGCTACTAAGTACAAATAGTCGCTAATTTATTTAACGAGAATGAGTTCATTTAACAGTGATTACCATTTGATCAGTCTCGATTTGTTTATTTACATCGTGAGCGGAGTGCTTCAGTATTACCATTTAGTCACAACTTTTGATACATTCGAAGTTCATTTAGCAGTGGAATCCAAGACATGCGTTTTGTCCTAGTTAAGGATCGTCAACTAGTTGTACCTGGGTTCAATTTGCACATTAAGTCTGAATTGTTTCAGTGGCATCTATTTTATTGTAAAATTTGATTAAGGTTCATGGAATAATATCTAAGTAGTAATAAGAATAATATTTTAATCTCCGGTTCATTTGTACTGACACAAGAAAACACAAATTAATTCATCGTTTCATGCTTTTTTATTTCGAAGGTATCAACAGTCACGTCAAATTTATTCCCGAATTAAACTTTTCTGCGATATAGTAAAATTTATTTATTTCAACACGTAAATATTGGTACAAGAGGGCACCAAATATATATGCGCCACACCATATTTGTGTGTGTGTGTGTGTGGGCTGTGATACTGCCCGGGTGCCCAGACCGAAGCAGGTGGTTTTCTTAGGGGGCCACACCCTGAGCCTTCAATCAACAATAAACGTCTTGCTTGGCATGGAATATTCAAATATGTTAAAAAGAGTGAATAAAATAATATTACACAGTAAATAATGAGTTTGACTTATAAATAAACATCAATTTTTTAAACGTTGTACACACTCCCAGGAATTTTTACCACTGACTACTACCATTAATAAATATATATTTTTAAAAATTTCCCAGTTAATATATATATTCACATTTAATTTTCAGTAATTCATTTCTTATATACATTCGATAATGTTATATTTTATTTTTCTGTGCTTTAACTTTTTTAGGCGTCGAATTAAACAATATAAACGTGCTCAAGAACAATCAACTGAAATAATTAGTGGACTCCGTCAACGTTTACTTGATTCTGGTCAGATTAGACGTAAATTACAAAATGAATTATGGCATAGTATTGATGAAAATACTTCTCTGTCTGAACAGATTAGTGAACTTCGTAAACAACTTAGTGATCTACGTAGTGGAAAAGTTTCTGATAACTTAAAAGCAAATAATGTGGAACTGAAAATCAAGCAGTCTAGTCCATCACTTACGGGTTTGTTGTATATACTTACTATCTATATTTTTGTTGTTTAAATTCATTCGATGTAATTGCTTAGAGGTATTGTTATGTCTTGAAACTAATCAATATTGCGCGCTGAAGCCACTAACCAGAATTCTGATCTTAATTTTATCTATTCTGTGCCTATTATTTCTTCTATAGTCCCAGTGTCCCAGACTTGACGGATTACACTTCTGACTTACACATTTAACCTTTAGCCGATGCTAACTGAGCTCATATTGATCCGGTGCCTATAAATCTGTCTCTATTTCTTTCCTCGAATCTCAAGAAAAGTCAGCAGGCAGCCTCTACTACTATTATTATTTTTCAAACATTATCGACAAATCCACTATTTTAGTGTGTACTTAAGGTAGAAAACATGTATTGTAATATTTTGGTTCTGTCACATATAACTGTTCAGTCAAGAATGTTTACTGACAGAGAAATAATAACAACTGTAGTACTCATAGACTATAGGTCTTACTTCTTACTTACACCTGTTACTCGTAGAGGAGCATAGACGATGACCGAGCTTCTCTATCAAACATTGTCCTCGCTTGTCCTTTCCGGTTGTTTCCGATTCCTATTCACTCTTTTGATGTCTGCCTTCAATACCCGGCATAGTGTGTTATTTGGTCTTCCTCTGTTTCTTTTCCATTCACAATTCCAAACTAGGGTTTGCCTCTTGATACAGTTTAGTGATTTCTGCAGTGTATGTCCTATCCACCTCGCGCGTTTCTTCCTAATTTCCTCTCCAGCTGGAAGCTGGTTTGTTCTCTCACACAGTAGTCTGTTGCTGGTGGTATCTGGTCAGTGGATCTAGAGTATCTTGCGTTGACAATTGTTTGTAAATACCTGTACTTTTTTGATGTTTGAAGTAGATTTCCAAGTTTCAGCTCCGTACAGTGGAACATGACGTTTTTATCGAAGATCCTAACTTTGGTACTGACTAACAGTTGATTTGAGTTTCATATGTTCTTCAGTCAACTTATTCAATAAACGGTAGGTAGTAGTATCGCTTAATGTGGTTTAGTCTTTTTTGTGTGTACTCTTTCACCATTAACGATGAACTTTTTGTCAAGTATTTGCATAAAATAGGTTTGCATTGTTGCGAAATAATTAAACTGATTTTGGCCTCTTGAAATTTACGTAGGATTCTGTTTTAATTTATAAAACAGATAGAATGCATTTGTTTTCTTTCCTTGTGAAACCACAGCTCGGTAATTCAGTTGATTGGAATTCTTACTTTTTTTGGTGGACGTTTCATCTTCTGTCTCTACTTTTTCGGTTTTAACTTATTATTAGTTCCAGTTATTGTTGTATGAGAAATATTTTTGATGATAGTTTAATTCTAACAAACTTTATTTTATCTTGATTTTGTATCTTCTTCATTCATTACAGTTTTACACAGTACTCATTTTTTACTGCTATCAAGAATACTTTTCCTTTATTGGTTCGTCGCTCTTTTTTTTTCTGTTTTTTTTAACGAATAATTTATATTGTAGTGTCTGATTTAGTTAAATAATCTTTGGTTTTTTCAATGAATCTTACTGCTTGACATTTTGACTATTGGATTTGCCAATATATCTGTCACTATGAATAGATACAACATTGTTCATGTTCCTTGTTCAAAGAGAGGTTAAAGCTTAGAATAGTTGTCTTATTATGTGTCAACAATAACATGACGTCTAAATGAGTACTTCGTTAATGAGTTTCAGTAGCCCTTCAACAATCTAATCTCTGGACTTTTTCCACTACTAACTAACTCTGTTCTCTATAGAACACAAACTTTAGTGTTATTACAGTAGCTAATGTTTCTGTCTTTCCTCCGCAGTCTTATGATAAATGTTTACTACAGTACATTAGACTTCCAATTTTAGTATATTATGACTAAATAAGAGTAGGAAAAGAATAGACAGTTGTTTATTCTTTGTCTAAACACCCTTATAATGAGTTCTTATTGGGTTCTTTGTACTGTCGGTAGATTTAAACGAGATGTTCTCGTGTATTGTTAGAGGTCTGAACACAGTTGTCACTACTCCCCAGTTGACTACACCAATAAATTATCTTTCCTTTTAAGGGACCTGAAAAAGAAACTGTGTTAGTGGTAGTCTTAGAATCCTGGGAGAATAACTAATCTAAGGGGCAAATATTTAGCCGGGGGGATCACACCCAATCTTTTTATGACAAGTTTTTGAGATGTTAGCTTCATACTTCAAACGAAATTACCACCGGAGATGAAAATCCATAAAGTTGAAGTAAAATGTATCATTTTTAGAGTCAAAATTTTATAACATCTGTTGTGATTAGGGAGCATTGTTGATGCTGGTTATCTGATAGAAACATTTTACTCCTTTAACAATCCTGTACGACTTTGTTCTCATACTTTAAGTTGATGCTTTTATTCTTATCGTTGGGGATGCGATTCTCTCCCTCGAAATGCAAAATGTTGCTTCAGGATTGGGTTACATCGACACCCGAACTAGTGATAGGGAGTGAAGTAGTTGAGTGTGTCGACCGCTTCACTTATCTTGGAAGTCTCATCAGCCCATGTGGTTTAGTGTGTGACGAAATCTCAGCACCGATAGAGGAGGCTCGACTAGCTTTTGCCAATTTGTGTCATTTATGGCGTAGGCGAGATATCCGTCTATCAACCAAAGGACGTGTTTACTGCATAGCAGTTTGTTCCGTCCTACTTTATGGCAGTGACATATGGCCGGTAAGAGTAGAGGATATCCGTAGGTTACTAGTATTTGATCATAGGTGTCTTCGAAACATTGCTCGTATATCCTGAGACCATCAAGTAAGTAATGCAGTTGTTAGGAAACGGGTACTAGGTAAGGATGGCAAATCAACTGGTGAAGTAGTGAAACTTCATCAGTTGAGATGGCTGGGACACGTGTTACGTATGCCCAACGACCGACTGCCTCGACGTGCGATGTTCAATAGTGTAGGAGTAGGTTGGAAGAAGGCTAGGGGCGGCCAGACCAAAACATGGCACAAGTCCATGAAGTCACTGACAAGTGGACTGAGTCATGTTGGTAGGTGTCGACTACCTGGTTGGGGACTGCGAGATGATAGCAACCTATGGTTAGAGACCCTGAATGACATGGCTCAAAATCGTTTGCAATGGCACAGGTGCATCCACTCTGTGTTCTCCCAAATTCTAATCTTCTGAATTCTCCTTCCAAGTTTATTTCACTGGATTATACTTCTTGAATAACATCAAACCCTAGTCTTTCCGATTACTGTTTATACTTTTACTACCTCAACCACTACGGGATTTGAATGGACAACTGCATCTCTGTGCTAATGTGGTGTGGCAACTCGAACTGATGTTCGTACGTACGAAGTTCTATGTTGTTACTGACTGACTGGCTATCGTTTCTCGAATGATCTGTTTAGCATGATAGAACTTAAAAAAAAAAACAACAACAATTGTTCCATCCAATATAACTTGATTGAATCATTACAATATGTAAACCTGACAACCATGTTAGTGTAGCAGTTACAATCAGATCAATTCACTTAATTACAGATATTTATTATAATAGAATTATATATATAAGGTAATAATTGTGAAATGTTTCCTGAATAAAATCATTTCTCATCTTTTCTTCTTAATCATTATTCAATTTATTAATTTTTCACTTCTAAGATACATTCATTTGTGTCAATTAAAAATATGTTCATTATTTAAATTATAGATCTGCTTTTTACTGATTCTTTTCTATTCTATATTGTTTTGTTCTATAGTCAAAAAGAATTAATATGATAAAATATTTAAAAGTATGACTGTTATAAATATACATATACTCATTTGTGTTTAGAGACTAAATTTACTTACGCCTGTTACTCCTCGTGAAGCAGCATAGGCCGCTCACCAGCATTCTCCATCCAACCCTATCCTCGGCAATCCTTTTCATATCTGCTTCTTTTTCTTGACGTAATGTGTTCTTTAGCCTTTCTCTTTTCCATTTTCTTTCACGATTCCAAGTTAAAGCTTGCCTCGTGATGCAGTTTGATCATTTGTGTAATGTATGTCCTATCCATTTCCATCCGAATTTCCCCTTCAACTGGAAGCTGTTTTTTTCTCTCCCACAGAAGGCTGTTGCTGACGGTATCCGGCCAATGGATGTTGAGTATCTTGCGCAGACAACTATTTATAAATACTTGTACCTTCTTGATGATGGTTGTAGTAGTTCGCCAAGTTTCAGCCCCATACAGTAGAACTGACTATGTTCACGTTCGTATTGAAGATTGTGACTTTGATATTGGTTGACAGACAGTTGTTTTGAGTTCCATATGTTCTTCAATTGTAGGAATGCGGCCCTTGCTTTACCAATCCTCGCCTTTACGTCTGCATCTGAACCTCCTTGTTCATCGATGATGCTTCCCAGGTATGTGAAGGATTTTCCATCTTCCAGAGTTTCGCCATCAAGTGTGATTGGATTGCTGTTCTCCGTTTTGAATTTGAGGACCTTGGTTTTCCCCTTCTGTATGTTGAGGTCTACTGATGCAGAGACTGCTGCTACACTAGCTGTCTTTATCTGCATTTGTTCGTGTGTATGCAATAGGAGGGCTAGGTCATTTGCGAAGTTCAAATCGTCTAAATGGTTCTGAGCTGTCCATTGTATGCCGTGTTTTCCCTCAGATGTCGAGGTCTTCATAATCCAGTCGACCACCAGAAGAAAGAGGGAGAGAGACTAAATTTAGAATATTATAATTATGTAATTGACAAATCAGTATATTGAATAACTAACTAGTTCTACTGGTAATGTCATACATAAAAAATAGTCCTCTCTTTATTCATTCTGTTACATTTCATAATTTCTCGTTAGTAGAATACAGTTTAAGTGTTATAAATTATTGTTCCGAAACCTGTTACAATTTTCTTGATAAATACACTATTGAACTCTTTAAGAATGACATTTATTTATATCACAAAAAACATTAGGTAAAGTTTACCTAATTAGTGTTTTCTTTTTAGTAGGACTTTTATATAGATTAATGATAAACCTCTTAAAGAAATTTTCATCTAATAGATAATTCCAGAGTTACACAGACGAATCGAATGCAATATTAATGTTTAATAAAAGTAGTGGAGCAATTGTTAACCAGCTACACGAAATTGAGACTCAAGAATCGAACAGATTTATGTCCTACTCTATATAGCTATTAATGATATTATTTTTGTGTGATTAATAATTGTTTCTAAATAAAATCGGCATATCATCATTCTGAACTTTTCAAACTTTCAGTTAAGATCAATAATACCCAATGATGTTGTCTTGAACTATGGAATTTAAGGCTTTGTATAATGTTCGTTTAGGTAACCTACGATCCCCAAATATTTCCCAGGCTAATAATCATGTCGTTGAGTATCGTCTTTTGTTCATCGTATTCCTACTGTCAATAACGAAATGTTTTGTTAGAAAATTATGGAAAGATACATAGGAAAATATGTGAATACACAATGCATTCAAATAAATTTACTAAAAGTTTATACGCTTGTCCAACCTATTTCCATTGTTCAACATACCCATGAACATAGTCAGCCGATTTCCCTAGTTGCCTTATTGTCTCCCTTTGTTAGAAACATTTGTACGGAAACTTCTTTAAATTCACCAAAAGATTTAATAGCATAGTTCGGGTATTTGTTGGACAAGATATCTAATGTGGTGTAAATATAATATAATCTTTTCAAATAATTCTATTTTATTCACTCATTATCCTTTCATTACTCTTTTACGTAGAAAGTGACAAGCTTGATGTTGAGAACAGAGACCCTCAGAAATTAAATAGTAACAAGGCTATATACTGTGCAAATCCTCTTAAAGAAACTCCCGTGGAATTGTCGAAACCTGTTCACAGAGTGGACCGTCCTGGTGCTGGTATTCAGAGTAAAGATGTGCCCCAGAATTGTAATACTTCATAGTACAAGTGATACTACTCACCATCATCTTTGGTATACTATGTCCATATCGAGTGTAATTTTGGAATCAAAATGTGCATTTCGCAATTCATGCACATATTTAGCCAGATAGATAATAAGATCTGAACATTTGCTTTCAACGTCATCTAATATTCCTTCACAATGTAATTTAGCTTTTTTGTATTGAATGAATTGTAAATACACTATCCAATTTCCATGTTGAACAAGTTAAAACAATGCGTGAAATGTTATTTCTACGAAAACGTTATGTCTTTTGTGACTACTACAGACTGCGTATCACTAGGTTGTAAGTAAAATCCAGTATTTTATTTGGAGTAGGTTCATTCCAAACAATGTCACAATTCATCTTGTCGTTCACGTGTGATCTGGTCGGGACCAAGCGCATGAATCACAAATTGAAAGTATGAGTGAAGATGGTAACGGATGTATCCATTACTGAATGTTAAGAGTAAATCATTTCGTTTTGTACTGTAATTGACGCGAGCCGACTGCTTTCCTTGGTGAATAGCATCGGTTTATTTGTAATTTTCACACATATAAAATCCCATCATTAGCGCACCACAGAAACTTATGGACTACCTTATTTCAAAGTGTATGTCAAAATTTTTCTTGTTTTAAATTTGTTGATCAACTAATAATGCTTGTTAACCGTAGGCAATTAAGCACTTTCAGCATGGTGAAACCAGAGTCGATTCATCTTAACTGTTCAGACATAGTATGGATTACTAGATTTATTATGTTAACATATATTTAGCGATTAGGCTGATACATTGGAGATAAGTTATTGAATTCACTACATTGGCTCAAGTTGTCATAATAATCAGCATCAAGAATGTTCTTTTGGTCACCAAAAGAACTAAAACTCTGTAGCATATATCTCACAATATTTAAGTATTTGCGAATCTGGCTTATGCAATTTACAGTTACTTTAATCACTGAGTAGACTGTAGTGTTACTGCTACAGAGTGAAGAAACAAACTCATCCAGTTGAACATAAGAAACAACTAAGGCAGTCTTTAGCACACTGAACTGTGATGACGGTGAGTTTTTAGGAAAACGATTAAGAGTACTGGAACAGTAAGACAATAAATTAGGAGGCACTTAATAATGATAGAAAACAATCAAATAAATTAATAATGAACGTCTTGTAGATAAGAAGTTCTGTACAGAGTTTTTGTTACCAGATAGACGTATAGTTTAACAAAACTGGAAAAAAAATTTTGAAGCTACCTAAATCTCAATAAAGAATAATAATAATATGAACAAAATGAATATTGTACAAGTGGATTTTATAGGAAATCTGAATGAAAACAAATAATCAGGTAACACAATTATTGAAATCAAATGTCAAACGCATCATAATGGTGTACAAACAAGTGTTTTATGTTTTTATTGAACTTGAGTAAATATTGTTGGGAAAATTTAATTGAAAAGTTGTTAGCATGAAAAAAAAAATTAATACGAAAAAAGAAAGAGGACAAATAGTTGAAAAAAAAACTAAATAGTGCGGTACTATTTAATAAAGGTGATTAGTTTTACAAAAAGGCAATTTACATAATAATATTAGCAAGTTCTCTGTGTAAAAATAGTTCTGCTCTGCACAATTTTGAACAACATTGTTTAAATGAGCTACACAGCATTCTTCCAGCCTGATAATGGCTGATCACTGTATACAAACAAAATTTGAAAATACAATAACTTCGGGGAGAATTAGATATCAAGTAAAAATGAAGGCTTTAAAAAAAACGCATGATACAAAAACAACTTGCTTTAGTATAGAAGGGAGAGACAAATAGAAAAAAACTAAGTTCGTGAACAATTGTGATAATCATGTCGATAACCTAAAAAGAATGTACATTTTCTGGAAAGGGATTTGAATAATACAGCCAGTTGGGATTAATCTGTGTGAAGATAATTATATAAAGCATCAGTTGTCTATATTTACAGATATAAACATCTGAAGATGTTCGCTGAACGAAACACTTCTAGATAATTGCATAATTTCGAAGCGGTGAAACACACAGACGCGTCGGCCATAAAATTCATTTCTTCTGAATAATTTATAGGGATGGATTTATTGGTTAGACGGATGAACGGGAGTAGATAAAGTTGTCATCGATGTCGAAGGATTATGGCTGCAAAAATTAAAAACATTTGGTTGATTTATTAAGACTGATTTGGAAGATGATCAGTTAAAGAAATTACTGTACTACATACAAAAAAGTTTCTCGACACAATATAAGCAGTCAACTTACTGGGGTGCACATCCTGCACTGTTGGGGGGTATTTCTGAAGGTGATGTAGGTCGGGAAGGGTCAACTGCAGTCATACTAGAAACATTTCCAGATGCATTTTTGCTACTACTCGCGATATTGGTGCGCTTCTTTTTGATAGCTGTACTTGTGGACTGTGGATTTAAATTTGCGTCGGCTATATATTATAAAATAACGATTAGAAAAGATAAACATGGTATACAAGGACAATTGACAAACAGTGAAAGTAAAAGTGCGATACACAGGTAAAATTTGGAAACGATATCCAAAAGTATAATCCGACATTTGATTATTAACTGAAGCAGGAAAAGTCCGGTTACACGTTCTTGTTCCATAAACAGAGCTATGTAGGCTATTTAACAACAACACATCGTTCAAATTTTTGAGACAAAAAAAAACTGGTGCCATTACGTCTAGAAAAAGCTTAATACAATAGAGTTATGATTCTTGTTTCCTAACCAATGTAGTCGGAATTTGTCGCCTCACTTTATCAGCTTTGGCAGAATTAGTTTTACTGGATGCCCATTCAGGCACTGTATGGTATTTGGGTTCATCGAAAGACAGACAGAACGATAAAAAAAACATTTAATAAACACGGGGCAATATATCGATGCGAAGAATTCCATCTAACTTACCAACCCCAACGCTATGAGGACTGGAAGATGATCAGATTCGTTAAGTGAGCAAACGATCTGCATATTCCTTTCATCCATCCAATCACAGCTGCTAAATTATCCATAAATCCTTCAAGATCACTATGTAACTTCGCTATAAGTGCGTGGTTTGATTTCTGTACACTTGTTTTTAGTTGATAAATCTTGATATCAAACATAAGTTTGTATAATTGGTTTCGACTTACTATTATTTTGTGCAACGGATAGTAATAAAAAGTGGAGATTAAAAATGAACCAAGTGAAGTAACATTGTAATGTGGAACTTGATATTTGAATACTGTATTTTAGTGACTAAACCAACGGCTCTGCATATTTATTTCGGAAGTCGTCTTCATCTACATGTTGAATCTTAATTATTCTAATGATCAACTGAGTCGAGTGAAGTATACTAGTTAAAGAGATATTGACAGAAGAGTACAAAGCTTCAATGATTCCATCTTTTTGTGCACAACAAAAAAACAAATGAGAAAACTAGGGGTTACGCGTTCATAAAATGTCTATTTATTCTATCAAATGACCCCTGAAATTATACTGGATATAGTTCAACTATGTTTTCCATTATTTAGATCTATACTTACATGATTAGTGTTCATCAAAACATTTATCAGCTATTCTATTCATCTTATTAAGTATTTTCAAAGACTAGACAACTTATCTCATTCTTTACAATTACAATCTATGTAATCCGTAGATTGATTTGATTACTTAACATAAATTTCTGACTCTCTAACTAATTACGTCATATGTTCACTTGTTTTAATTTATTTAAGATATATATTCTTAAACATTTATAACTAAATCATCTAAATGCATCATTGTTCAATCCCGTTAACTGATTCACAATCATTTGATCAGTATTGATTGAACTGTCAAATCTACATAATATAGTCACAAAGAACGATCGGAAAAACACATTTTTCAAGTTTCGTGTTAATTAAGTTACATGGCGAGCACACACATGAGTTTACGTGCTGGAAACCTGTTACTACGTAACAAAGTTTCCCTAAGCAGTACTAGTAAAGCTTTTAGCAAGTGATTTAGTGGTTAACTGTAATACGAATTCTCAGCATCTAGATTTGTAGGTTTTCTTAACTGATAAAACTAAACTTTTCTCAACATATAATAAAACTATAGGAAGATGGCAAAACTTTGACTACATAAGGATAAAATAATTTATTGCTTACGAAGAGAGGAGTCAGAATCTCGGAGTCGTTTGCCGCGCCCCCTACCCCCATATCCTACACGTCCACTTGTTGGTACCACCGTGTTACCTTGTACTGGAGCAGGATTGGAACTGCTGACAGCTTGAGGATTTGTAGCATGACTAACTCCATCATGTCCTGGAGCATTATCAGTGTTGTCAGGATCCAGACTTGATCGATAGGCATGCAGACTAGCCCATTCACTGCCAACAGGATTTGGGAAAATCTAATCACAAAAGATGGAAATTTTAAAAAAAAGTATAGAGAAATAAAAGACAAGTCAAAAGCCCAATTTACTGTGATAAAAACATTCAAATTACTGGATACACGTCAAACTTTCTACTCTGTTAAGGGACTACGAATAAGAGAAATAATCATCTGTAGCTACGAAAGAAACAGTATCTAGAGAATGCGTATTTGTGTCAGCTATCCGTTTACGACCGATTAACTGAAAAAAATCGTTCGCAAAGTGTGTTCTGATCTAGCTTCAGCTACAAACTTACATCTACTTATATACATGATATTAAAAAAATAAACCATAAGATTCAGGTGTTGTAGGTTAATTGCTATCAAATGAAACTAAGAACTAGATCATTATTCTCAGTTCTGATCAGTCACATCATTATTAGTGGTTAAATGTAAATATTGAGTGTTCAAGTACTCTAATAATCAATCATGATAAAACGTAGTTTAACACACATCATCATCATTTTCGCAACGAGAAATACTTGGCATAATTGAGTTACGAAGCAACTCTTGAAACTTACTCGACGGAGATATTCATATATGCTTTTCTTATCTTGTCTGAGAAGCTTGTTTGAGAATTCAGCGACAACTTCAAGGAAAAGTAAATTGCTTGGGACACCAGGGGTTTGACCTGTTGCAGCAGCTGTGGAAGCAGCTCGGGAAACACAAAACTGTATCCCTTCGGAGTGAAAGGCAACCATAGATTCGCGTATTTTAATTAGGTCGAGACCGAAACTGAGATTCAGACGCCTAGCAAGTTCCTTTACAGCTTGAAGACCTTCAGAACCACGTTCAACACAATTCTGAAAGCGAGAAAACAAACAACCCATCAATTCATTATAAAATCGAATGCAGACAGGAATGCATGACATACAAATTTCTTTTCATGACAGGAATTAAAGGAATTCTGCAATGCACCGGATACAATCTTAAGCTTTATTCGGTTTATTCAAAAAAAGCTAAAGTGTTATGGGCATTTGATTATGAAACCTTTTTCAAAAACATTTAGCGTACAGTGGGGCGACCGAATAGGTCAAGACGTCTGGTAGAAATGGTGAACCTTTATTGGTAAGAACGGTTCAGATGTGTAATGTTTGTTCAGCCATTGCCTTTCTAGCCCTGTAGTGTTGTATATAAGTAGGAATAAACTGGGAAAAGGCTAGTAACAAACAGAAAAAAGGACAGCAATCAGTAATTCAAGGAAGTGTAGTTTAGAGCCCCCATAAGATAATCGCAATTTATGCTTAAAGATTCTGGGTGACGAAAAATAAAATGGTTGCAACATGACAGAGTCCATCACTGGATTAACCACTTCTATGAGTCCGGTGTTCATTTTGTTGTGCTAATGAGGTATGGCAACTTGGACCGATGCACATATGAGCCTGGTCCTACGTTGTAGCTGACTGGTCAGAGTCACTCTATTCCTTTTCTTTCTGCATGTCCTAAACATAGTATTATCCTTCAATTTTCATTCTCCAAAACCTAGATAACATTTGAATATTTTTAAGTATGTAGCACATATTTTTATTTACTCACCTTTCCTTTTTCTGTGAATCAAATTTTAGGTTATTGAATAAATGTACCCAAAATCTGCTGAAATACAGCAAAAGGGTTTCTGTGTCGCTTAAACTGACGTATAGTTATGCCCAACAGAAGATAAAAAAGTACAAAAATATGATGCAGTTAGATAAAAAAACTATTTCCCAATAGTTTTTGTTTAAGGACATGTAAATGCAGAGCAATCGCACTCTTTAGATCAGAACAAAACATGGCACCTACTAGCATAATAACATAAATTTATGAATCTCGTTTGAAGAAACAAAAGGAAAAGTAAGCAGTTCAAATGGGAATAAACACTATGTCAACTTACATTAGAAGCTGATTCTACTTGTAGATAACATAATTCTAAACAATGCGCAATCATACGAGCGGTGTGCACGCGATTGATTTCACGAGCTTTGGCCAGTGTAGATTTCATAATATCACCAAAATCATTGAAAGACCGAATATAGTATTTGTAGATCGGAGCAGCTGCTCGTATAGGAATCAAATTATATATTACTAGTTTAAAAAATGCAGCTAGTTGTGTACGCCTTTCGTGAAGCGATTCAAATTTGACATTTTCATCATCCTCTTCCTATGATAAAAATAAAACAATTACATGTTTTAATTAAAATTCAACTATTGAAAAGTAGTAGGAATCATTTAAATTACGGATATCCTATAAACATACATCCCTGTTTTAAAATTATCTATGTAATACAAATGAATAAAATCAACTCATTCTATATCATGACGGTATAAATTATCGAGGGTGATGTGTTACAATGGAGTGAATATTAAAGACATTGGAACTTTTGGGAAAATTTTACAAATGATTATTATTTGTATTTCTGTTTCTTGTATTGTAGGCTTGTGTTACATGTAGCAACTATCGCTATACGATTGTTATATAATTGATTGAGTCTTAGGACGTTAGGTGATAGCTGAGATAGCCATTGTGGGGTAGAGAAATTATAACCACGATTCTGACAGGCGAAGCTTCTCTAAATTTTTATCAATATTTATTGGTGACAATAAGTATGAATATTTACATATTTTGAAAGTCCAATATTATTACAGAAAGATAAACCATTGGAATAAACGATCTCATTAAGATGATGAACTTGATAGTATATTTTAATATTTCAGTAAACAAAAAAAATTAAATAAACTCATCTTGTATTTACTCGGATACGAACCACGCTCTAATTGTGAGGACTAATGATAATACCCAGTTGCTAAAACCGAAGGTGTAGCGGGGTTCGAACCTGGAACTTAATGGTTGGAACTCATATGCTTTTACTATTATTCCACCATACCACATTTTAATATACAATTTGCAGATAACTACAGCTACAAAACAAGTAATACATAAATTGATGGTATAGAGATCTGAATTTAGAAAGAAACGGTACAAAAACCTAGTTATAATATTAGAAACTTACGTCGTCATCATCAACGAAAACCCGTTGCTCCAGAAAATTGGTCAACTTGAGTTCTAGATCCCTGTCGGCTGTATAAATGATAGATTTCAGATTTGGCAAGTGAACGGAAAGATGACGTGAAAAAACAACTAGCAAATCACAAATGGACAAAAACGATTCTGATGCTAACCGTTTGCATGAATGATCTAGGTAGCCAATACAAACGTCCATATACAGATTTAACTGTCTTCTTAGTTTGTTCAAATCCGTCTGCAAACAGAAACAATGCAACACAAATATCAATAAAAAAGGTAGAGATGGACAATTACTAGCAGTTGGGCTTGGGGAGTCACAACTTAAAACTAATAAATCTAAAGATAGCTGCGTGTTTTTCGAATCAAACGAATTCCCATAGATATAATTGTTAAGAAAGATGATAACGAAGTATAACTTCAAATATATGCTTTGAATGAAGATAGTAGATGGACGTATGTACGCGCGGGAACTGTATAAAGAGTGAATGGTTATGAAAAGAGTCACTCTGAAAAACAACTTTCCTGAACAGAAATAGAATACAAGAAATAAATCAGTTTGACGTCGGTTAACTTCAAACTTTATTCGCCTCTTCAAACAAAAACTGCAGTTCACAGTTATCTCCTCTCCCTCGAAAAAAACAACACAAGAGATCAACGTTAAACTAAGGCACTATTCTGCACAATACCAGGTCAAAAAACACGTTAAAATACTGTAATGAAATGGACAAGAGAAATACATAGAAAGAATCTAAACTTACTTTGTCGACATCAGCCTCTCCTATTCTAGCAAGATTCCACAGTAGAGCTTTAGAGCAACAGCTAACAGCCTGAGCCACAATTTCACCGTTGGCATCATTTCCGGATTGTGCGATCCTGATAAGACTATCCCATAAATCCAATCCAGAAAGATCGTGACAACTAAAATTATTCGAAAAATAAAAGCAGTATGAAAATTTCCGGATAAATGTAAGCTGTCGGTTACGACTAAAGTATCTCCGAATGAAAATACCACAAAGATTTTCCGGTAAATTTCACAAAAATGGTTAGCCATTTCAGACTTCTAAAATCTTACAATACGTTATTACTGTTTCATATAACAGCATTTCAAAGGAAAAAAGTAACTCCAAATGTTAACTTTAGATAAATTGTGCTACATATTAGATTGTGGTTTACTACGAAAAGATTATTTACAATGAATTTGATTAACGTCGAAATTCTGAACTAGTTTTTTGTAATGGCAATGGTGTGTGATGAAATATGAAGTATAAAGAAATAAGAAATTAATTTTAATATAAAAAGAATGAAAACGAATGTCCAGCAATCAAGAACTCAGTTAACTGATAACAAATATCGTGTGAAGCATAGCGTTTATAGCATTTTAGGATTGATAACACACAGACTGCACCATTTCACTTAGTTATGACAATTTTCTCAAGGTCAGGAAACGTTGAGGTCAAATAACTGTTTACGAAATATTGCAGCAGTAAGTACGATACTTCAGAATTCTATGATAATTACACAACGACGATTACGATTGAATAATTAAGCTCATTACTGTAGATGACACAAAAATGTTGATTTCAAGGACAAGTTTCTTGTAAAATTCATCTGATTAAATAACGTCAAGGATAATTTACAGTATTATCAGACACCATATATTACTGAATGAAAGAGGTTACAATTATCTACAAAGATTCTCAACCAGTAATCGCGAGTGGCTTAAATAAAACGTTGAGTTGACACATTAAGCCCACTTTACTGGAAATCGTGATATAACTAGCTTGCACAAGAAAATGTGTGGTTCAAAGATGGATACACGACTAAGTATTAAGTTTATACGCTCATAAATATATGTTGCCAAAATCCCTGGAAAAACCATTTTGCTGAACAGACCTTGTATTACTTGAAAGCCCTAAAAATTCAACCGATATCATAAGAGTAAAATTTTCTAACTTGATCACAATTTTAGTGAACACTGTTTGGGAAATCATACCCAGTTAACTAAACCCATCTTAATAGATTCACAACTGTGATGTGAGACAAGTTAAGAAGGTAGGTTAGATTAAGAACTGGCACTTTATAAACCATCCATATGAATAAAAAATACCAGCTTATCTAAATTAAGTTGTTGTTTCAAGGGCTAAATAGCATGACTAAAAAAACGCAGTGAAATCACATATGTTGTGATGCTCATGTAGCTCTACACAGATGACAAAATGTTAATTATTAATCCGCAAATGGTATTTATGGGTTGATAATTGGTTTTTTGTTATTTCTGATGTCACAACAACAATCTTTGGTATATAATGGAAAGTTAATTTTCTCTAATCGTTGCGAACAAATAATATTAATAAAAAACATCTCAATGATTTTAAATGGTGAACTGTTATTTCTGAGGCCCAATAAATTAACTATATTTGACAGTAAGAACTTTATTTATAGCTGCCCACTTTTGGTAAAAATATAACAGAATCATGTTTACAAAGGAATAATAAATTTATGACTCACGCGTAAAACGCATAGATTCGTTTCAATGCAGCTAGTAAGTGAAACTCATCATCCTGATCGGGTTCCTCTCCCTAAAAGGTGGAAAGATATAACTAACATAAATGGGTGACATTTATTTTGGGGGATAAAATAAAAATAAAAGGACACAAATATGTTAAGTATTCCAGTTAATAAGCTGCTAAACATAGAATTAAGATATACAGAATCAGAAGCCTTAGTGTATTTTTCGTAATTTACACTTATAATCGATTCAAGATTTAAGATCCAACAAGATGTACGTGAGTGGATATGAGCAAACATATATTAGCAGCAGTGGCGTATGTACTAAAATCGAGTCAAAGCATCGTCGATAGTCTATAAAAGTTGTAACAACAAAATATATTTGTAAAGTACTTGACATGAAAGCCAGAAGTGTCTATGAAATCACAAAACCAAGTGCAATGGCTAGTAAACGTAACAATAGTGCTAGCCCAATAATAAAACTGGGTTTTAGAATACTTATGCTTATACGAACATTCTTTATGAACGTCTCTTTTTTATCTAAATATATGATAACAAAAAAATACCCAAAGTTTACGGCATAACAATAAGAATTTTTGTACGAAAATTAACCTGATCGTTAAAGTAGTTTAAGAATGCATCCCGATAAAGATCCACCAAACGATCCAACAGCGTGCCACGGACAGTTTGACACTTTGCAGAAATGCTTAATTCATCAATACACAACGATTCGTAAACGCGCGAACAAGCCAATAATGTGTGTGGATCAGTATGACGTTCTACAATATCCTGAAAATGAGAAATGTTTTCTAATAAGTACTTTTGACTAAACATTAGATAAAAATTCCCAAACAATGCACTGTTAGATTAATAAATGCAATTGCTTAGTACTCTGAACTTTTTAAGTTGCGTTTAGCAAAAACTAGTAAGTGAATGTAGTTACAAAATTATTATACAATAATCAGGAATGCTTACATTTCCAGTGATGAAACTACATTAATTAAAAATTTATCAATGTGAGATAACTACAGATCACTACTTAACAATTGTAGCGTGTAATAAATACATGACGAAAATCCCGTAGCTGACAGAATAAATAAGTCTTGCCTTACACTGATTTTTACAACGCTGTTTAAGTGGTGAATGTAATCAATCAGCATTGTATTGGTTTCAAAAGACTTATGCCAATTGTGAAGAGTATGTAGTCATGAAATGAAAGAGGAGTGACTATGATGTAGATAAATCTAATATTGATGTACGACTTAGTTTTATTGAATTAACCTTGAAAAAACTTAGCATGGTTGCAAAATCAATCGACTTTCGATCATGATTGAGGGTCTCAGTCTCGATTCATATAGGCTTGAGCAAGGGAACAACGGGAATAGTTGTCTCGCTAAAACCGAGTATACAAACTTGATGAATAATTAATTTCACTACTTGATAAGATACGAGATCCAAGTAATAGTGAACCTGAAAAGTATGAGAAATATTTGATTTGTTTTTAAGCCAGTAGAGAAAATTATACGTGTGAAATCCAACAGTGGAACATTTTTCGTTAAACATCATATTTATTGCTAATTACTCATGTGGATATGGAGATCAAAATCAAGAAAGACATTAAAACTTAAGTGTGCAGATGGCATTGCAATGAATACACACAAACGAGATGAGCTATTAAGATTAACGTGAACGTACCTGAACAGCTTGTAGAAGAAGATCCAAATGTCTTTCATGTCGGCCCGTAGTGTAGAGTTCCATTTCCATGTGTCGTGGAATAGCAAGAAGGTTTGTAGCTCGTTCAGGAGATTCACCATACTTAGCAAGGAGTGCTGGTATAGCAGTTATCATTGCTTCTGTCATACGACTACGTTCTTCGGCCAGGGCACGAGCTTCACGTGAAGAGGGTGCAGCGCTGTTCCCTGTACCGGTAGTTGCACCACCTCGACCGCGTCCACCAGTCTCCAGTAAACTCATGCCAGTCAGTAAGTTGGTATTGGAATGTGAATGATGGCCGCCAGTCTGCACACAATGAATAATTTATAAATTGCTATAGACTGAATTCATGCTTATTCACACAATGTTTCGTAGTATATAATAAATAAAATAAAAATCAACAGACAAAACATACTTGGAAGTGACTAACCTGTCGTCCTACTGGTGATTCCCCCGTTGCTGCTTGACGAACACAACAAACCATAATTTCGATCAAACTTGTTTCTTGATTTGCATCCATAGGTTCCTCACCTCTACCTGGTTCTTCAAGAAGCAAATCTAGCATAGCTTCCCAATCACGAAGCATTGGGCATAAATCCCATAAACTATCGACCAAATAAGTAGCATGTTCATGTAACTAAAATGAATTAAGATGAATTATCAGTTACATAAATTACCAACCTGATTAAAAACGATGAGGCAAAACAGGTAAGTGGACGAAAATGAGAAATCACCACTTTTAACTGAGGAAACACATTCATATATCTCTTATTTAAATAAATATAATGGTGTTAATTTAACTTATTAACTGATATTTGAAACGACTCTAAATTCTTTATTATTAAAGAAATAATTTTCTTTCTTGACAGAATTGTTTATATGGAATATTAAGGTCTCAACCAATCTACCGACATATCAATCGTCTTAACCTAATTGCACTTAAATCATAAGCTAGCCTGATGAGATTTTATTAAAACCAAATAATCCATTCATCTGAGCATTTTACCATTGAAATCCATCAATGTGTTATTCGTTTAAATCATTTAACGCCTAGAATGTTGATATTTAATGACGTTCAAGTACGCTCTAAATGTGATTACCTATGAAAATCCAGATTATCAGTTAGTTACTTCAAATAAAATATAAATATTACTCAAAAGGAAACATGAATTCATTGTAAGAAATTTTTACTTTAAAAGTACGACTTTAAGCAATTTTTAAGTTGACTATAAATAAAAACTAGGAAAACTGGTGTTGCTTTTTTCAAACTTACTTCACTCTCGATGAAAAATTGCACGAGGTCACGAATGAGTGGTGTATTTTCACTACGTTTTTTACCTTTTCTGGTTCTAGTGGGAGGAGCATGGGAATCAACTTCAAAAAGTTTTAAAGTTAAAAATTCACCAGCTGCTTGTGCCAAAGGCCTGTGAGTGCAATAAACCAACTCATATATATTTTCACAATCCTTGTCTTCAAGTACTGAGTCACTATGCCTAAGAAACAAATAGATGAGACAGATAAATAAACAATATGATAGTTTTGATGGGAGAAAACTAACTAATCTAGTAACACAATGCATTGTTCCCGATTGTAAATAAAAACATTACAAAAAGAAACTAGTGGATAAATTGAAATTAATAAGGTTGGAGTGATGACAGAGAATTATGTGTAAAAACTGAGATACCGGGTGTAATACGCAGATAACAGAGGATTTTCTTATAAGATCTATGAATTAAAAACATGAATGCATTTGCGTGATAACCCTTTTAAAAAATAAACTCACTCACTAGAGATTTCAATATAAACCACACTAATTGTTAAGGCTAATGATACCACTTCGTAGCCCAGACTCAAGTAGGTGGGGTGGAGCTGCAACCTGGGGAACAATGATTAAAAGACGGACGCCTTAACTACAAAGCCACCGCTCTCCTTGGTTGGAGAATACATGGGGTTAGTATGGCTTAATGATTTTAGATAAGTGAGGAGAGATTCAGTGCCACAGAACTTGGTAAATGTTAGCTATAACCAAAAAGGATGATCTACTTAGTATTGGGGACAGTCTTCTTTAATTATAAGTCCGAAAAAAGATTTGGACCGTTTGATCTCACTCAGTTATCGATGTGTGATGTGCTAGACTGCTAAAATATCACCCAACTCGAAAACTAATCGTGAAGTAGGTATTGACGATTATCACATGTATGAAAAATACATAGGCGAAGGTTTACTATCAGCTGTTAAAACTATATATGAGCGTAGGGTGAGATGTGTGAAGGTTATCTAAACATGACAAAGTCATATCTCATTCCAGTATCGGGATCACCGGGTAAGTAATAATGAGGTTAGACTCCGGGTATTAGAGAATGACGGTAAATCAGTTGATGAGGTTGTGAATCTTCATCGACTGAGATGGTTGGGTCACATGTTATGTATACCTAAACACCGATCACCACGACGCGCAATGCTGACTAGTGTTGAGTATGGTTGGAAGAAAGTTGGGGGTGGCCAAACCAAAATATGGCATCAGTTACTGAAGTTACTAACTTCTAATCTGAGACATGTTAGTAGATGCAAACTACTTGGTTGGGGTCCGCGTGACTATCGTAACCAACGGTTGAAGACTCTTGGTGATATGGCTTTGAATTGATCACGATGGCGTAGGTGTATACACTTTCTATTTTCCCTTTAAACGATAAGGTTAAAATCGCTTCATATCTTTCTTTCTACGAACTAATTCTTTCTTCCTGTACTATATCCTTATTGCAATCTTTTTTATATATTACCACGATTGAATTAGCTACTTCTATGAATCCGAAGTTCATCTTGTTGTGCTAATTAGGTATGGCAACAAGGACCGATGCATATATGTACGTGGTCCAATGTTGTGGCCGACTGACTGACTAATATTTCCAGCATCCTAGATAAGGTGAAAATTATCTTCGGGTATGGATGGACGGACTTGATCATCCTGATGGGAGATGTAAACGCCAAAGTTGGAATGGACGACTCTGGGTATGAAGATATCACGGGACGACATGGACTAGGAGAAGAAACAGGAATGATGAGTGATTTGCATAGCTTTGTGCATTTAACAAACTAGTCAAAGGCGGCACCATACTCCCCCACAAAGTCATACACAAAGCTACATGGGTCTCACCGGACTACAACACGGAGAACCAGATGGATCATATTTACACCAGTAAAAAATTCAGGTCAATGAGAGACATGAGAACCAAGATGAAACTGAAAGTGAAGAAGGATTGGACAACTAGAAGAAGGTTCAATACAGCCTTCCTACGAGATACTGACAAACTCAACTTATTCAAGATAACTCTCAATACAAGTTCCAAGCCTTATAGGATCTACTGAAAGAGGAAACTACTATGGAGGACAATTCGAAAGGGATGAAAGAAATACCAACTTCAAAGTGTTAGGAGCTGCTGGGCTGCAACAAGCATCATAAGAAATGGACCTCTATGGAAACCCTAGACAAGAAAGGAAGAACAAGAAAACAGCAATTAACATTAGTCGAACAAGAACCGAGAAAGTCAAGAGACAAACTGAATACACAGAAGCAAACAAGTGAGTGGAGAACAGCATTAGAGCCAACAAAAAGAAATAAGTGGTATATCTAGTAACGACAGTGGAAAAATCTGCAACAGAAGGAAATATTGAACAACCATATGGTACAACGAAGAAATTAGCAGTGAAACACACTACACCAGAGCGACCAGTAAGGAACAAGGAAGGCAAAACAATCACTGAAATTTAAGAACAGAGGGACAGGATTCTTCGAGGAACTCTTGAACTGACCAGCTTGAATCCACCGCGCATCGAAGCAGCACACATACACTTTCCTATAGATGTCACTCCACCAACGATCGAAGAAAACAGGATGGCCATCAGACAAGTCAAGAGTGAAAAATTAACAGGACCTGAAAATATATCAGCCGAAGCACTGAAGTCAATCACAGAAGTAACTGTAAACATGCTACACATTCTATTCAGGGAGCTTTGGGAGGAAGAACAAGTGCCAATTGACTGGAAAAAAGAAAACCTTAACAAGATACCAAACAAAGATCTGAGCAAATGTGAGAACTACAAAGGCATCGCACTACTATCAGTCAGTCAGTAACAACGTGGAACTTCGTACGTACGTACATCAGTTCGAGTTGCCACACCACATTACCACAGAGATGTAGTGGTCGATTCAAGTCCCGTAGTGCTAGATGTAATAAAATTATAAGCTGTAATCAGAAAAATTAGGGTTTGAAGATGTGATTCAAGGAGTATAATACAGTGAAATAAATTTGGAAAGAGAAAAAAGAAAGGGACATGAAGAATTCAGAAGATTAGAATTAGGGAGAACACAAAGAGTGGATGCACCTGCGCCATTGCGCACTACAATAGGTAGCAGAGAAAGTTTTCAACAGTGTTGTTGAACCGGATGGAAGATTCAGTAGACGTCCAGCTTCAAGATCAACATTCAGGATTCCGTAAGGATCTGTCGTTCAAAGACCAAATCGCAACGCTACGGATCATTGTTGAACAATCAATTGAATGCAACTCGTAACTATATATATAGTGTGGATAGGAGAACCTCATGGAACCTTCTGCGACACTATGATGTACCTGAAAAGGTCGTCAACATCATCCAGAATTCATACGACGGATTACACTGCCTATCCGTGTATGAAGGATAGCTGACAGAAGCATTCCAAGTGAGGATCGGAGTCTGACAAGACTGCTTACTATCACCCTTTCTCTTTCTTCTGGTGGTTAGCTGGATTATGAAGACCTCCAAGTATGACAAGAAGCACGGAATGCAGTGGACAGCTCGGAATCAACTAGACGATACGGACTTCGCAGATGATCTGACCCTTCTATCCTATACACAAACGCACACCAACAAATGCAGGTCAAGACAACCAGTGTGACAGGAGCATCAGCATCAATAGGCCTCAACATACACAAATGAAAAAATATCCTCAAGCACAACACAGAGAACACCAATCCAATCACACTTGATGGAGAAATTCTAGAAGATGTGGAACGTCTCATGTATCTGGGTAGCATCATCGATGAACAGGGAGGATCTGATGCAGACGTGAAGGTGATGATTGACAAGGCAAGGACAGCATTCCTACAGTTGGAGAATATATGCAACCAATATCAAAGTCACATCTTCAATACGAACGTCTACACAATTCTACTGTATGGAGCTGAAACTTGGAGAATTACCACAACGATCATCAAAAAGCTACAAGTATTTATAAACAATTGTCTACACAAAATATTCAGTGTTCGTTGGTCTGACACCATTAGCAATCAACTTCCAGTTGAAGGGGAAATTAAGGAAAGACGGTGGAAGTGGATGAGACACACATTGAGGGAATAATCAAACATCACAAGGCAAGCGCGAACTTGGAATCCTGAAGAAACGAAAAAGCGGAAGACCTACGAACACAGTGTTGAAAATCGGAAGCAGACACGAAAAAAAAGAATAGCAACTAGAAAAAACTGGAAAGGATTGTCTAGGACAGAGTTGGATGGAGAATGCTTGTGGGTGGCCTATGCTCCTCCATGAGGTGCAACAAGCGTAAGTAATTAGGGTTTGATTTTCTACTTGGAGAATTCCTGATCGAAATAAAGTAGACAAACAATTTACTATTGTATCTAGGAGTTTCTGACCGAATACAGTCCTCTGGACACTCAGTCCAAAATGTTACGTCAGAACTGATCTACTTCAGCAAGTTTTCCTATGATGGAGTGAAGTATTCGAATTTGTTAATCACTTCGTACATACTACATTTAGGAAGAAATCAGTTTCAAAATTTACATGTGAACTCCGTTGACTGACTTCCGATGTCTTTTTCACTTTGATTAATTAATTGACTACGAAGTTAACGAATCGATCTTAAAGCATTTTCACTGTGTTAATTACTTAATTCATTGTTATTTTGCACTCAAGTGATGATTACTCACTCAATAACCAGTGAAATTCATCGAAATGCAGCTTCATTAATTTAGGTGTAAATTAACTTTTCCTTTGGGGTTTTCATTAATATACTTTCTTAAAAAGACTTCTCTTTGTTTTATTCGAACTCTGTAAGGGATTACTATTGAAGTGCTGTGTATGAGTCGTTCGGTCTATTTAGCAAAGATTACGTTCCGTATTAAAAGAATCCTAAATAGTTTGTAATTCAGTTCACAACAGCTGTCAAACGAAAAAAATACAGAATGCTGTGTGATAGCAGTGGGTTCTTAATAAAATTAGGATACACAGACGATATAATCTTGTTTGAGAAAATAACCAGTTACGGATAAAGTTAAATTATAGTTCTGTATGATTTTAAGACTCACTTCAATATACAGGAGACTAGTTTTACAGCTTGAACTGCCACTTCAGTCTCTTTATCAAGTGTCATATCCACAAGACGTGATTTAAAACGAGAAGTGAAAAGCTCCAGACTATTGATGAGAGCAGGATCTTCATACAAGGGCTGTAAGGCGCGAAGACACTGAAGACGAACATCTCCAATTCTATCATAAAGTGTCCAACCAACATACTTTAAGTAACTGTCGTCTAAAAACATAGCTGGATAACGACGCATCCAGACACCGATTTCTTGCATGCATATTGTTCGTATTTCTGCCTGGCTATCCCTGGAAACAAACAAACAAAAATGACCTGTGAAATAGGAAATCCTAAGTGAGATTTTTAAGAGTTGGGGCTATTACAAACCTTTCAAAACGTTTGAGATCATCAAAGCTACATTATAGCATATACACATTAAGTCAGACCTGTTCACAAGGTAAAATATGTCAGTATAAAACATTCTGTACTTAGTTGAATTGTCTAAAAAACGGAAAAATATCTAGCAAACTGTTTCTGGAAAAATACTGACATATAGTCGAGGGACTACATCATCAACATTAAACTAGTCTATTCCGATTTAGTAATAACTAAGACATGACGGAAAGCTCTAGTTGAATTAAGACAGCATGTAATACGTTTACTTGTCGGTTAACATTATGGGAAGATTTCGCATCTTATCCTAGTTATAACGTTTTTTGATTTTACAGAAAATCCAAGCAATGTAACATTTTTTTATTTAAACACGTAAACATTGGCACAAGGCGGCAACAAATAGATATGCGCCACATAAATTATTCGGTTTATGTGAGGGCTGGGATACTGTCGGGGTGCCCAAATCGAAGCAGGAGGTTTTCTTAGGGAACCACACCTGGAGCCTTGTCACATACCTAAATTGACAGTAGTAGAAGTGGTTGTACAAACTAATTCAGTAAAGTACCTACTTTATTCAAAGATATTGGTGGTCCTACAAAACGTAAGAAATAATGCAAATGAACTGTTAACTTTAACCCACAGCAAACATATTTCGGTGGAATACTGATACAGAATGATGCTGACAAAACTAAGTATCTTCTAAATGTTTTTTTTTTGGCAAAACGATGTAATTCAAAGCCACAAGAACAGATTATATTAACTCTAAATATAAAATCTAATTTATCGACTTTTAGGTGACATATTTTGGGACTTATGCTGATACTTCATTTTATTAAAGTTTCTAATGAAGAAAAAAACGGGAGGAATAAATTAGTTCACTCCATAAAACCTAAAGTCCTTACACTCAAATTTACCTGTATCGATGAACGAAAACACCTTTGAAAATGTATACAAGCATATTTTTGACTTCCTCCATATTCTCTTCTAATTCTTGTCGACGTTGCATTAGCACTTCAAGTCTGTCAGAAGCACGTCGATTCTGAACTTTTGATCTTTCAGCTTCATACTGACGTTGTGTGTTATCTCTATTGATACTAACATTGAGCGCAACATCAACAAGAGCAGTCATCATTTTCATAGCAGCCAATGTACTGGTATGTCTAAACGCCCGAACCTATAAACGAAATGTTAAAGTAGAAAACTTTATCCATATTCAACACTGGCTGACGATTAAGTACACACAAGAGGTAACTATAACATTTTACCTCGAATGGAAATGATTTTAGGTAATGTTTTTCTTAAGAAGCTACAAATACTGACAACAAAAATACAATTCTATCAACACTACCAATTTTTATGCCATCATTAGAACAACTGTTTAGTAATTGCATCTGTATATGGGTAATTACTGAGAAGTATATCTTACCTGTGAGTCAGTAAGGCCTGTCAATAGAGAGATGACTTGATCAATCATGCATTGATCGTAAATTATACTATATTGACATTGACGAATTAATACTTGGATGAATTCAACAAAATTTGAACGAAAGCGTTTCCAAACTGGGCTTGATTGTATAAGTGGGTATTCACCCGAGTCTTCATCAAACTCTTCAGTCATTCGACGAATAATATCAGCATGTGACAGGCGGCTATACATTTCCGGTGTTACTTTTCCTATATGAAGAAAAAAAGATATTCTAATCTTTAAGTACTATACCTTTAACGAGTAAGAATAAAGTGATTTAAAATCCATAACTTAAACGTCTAAGTCAGTGAAGTGATGACTCACATCCCATAAATAGTAGTTGAGGTCAGTAGGAATTTGAGGCAATATTTGGATGAAGCTTCGATTCTATTTACACAACGAAGGTTTTTATTATTCGTTATACTTTTTCCCGCTAGGTCTTGAAGATATTTTTACTATCCGTAAAGTATTACAAGAGAAAATTCTCACTCATGGGGCATATCCATGTATTTTTCTAATTTAGTTTCGTATATATATAAAGGAAAATTGTCTGGACAGAATAGTGGGACATTTCTAGATTTTATTCTGAATAACGGGAGTTATTATCTGTGACAAAAATGGGTCAAGTTAATTGACGGAGTCGGATTTATAAAGAGCGTAAAATAATGACTTCAAAAGACAGTTAAACATGACAGAGTTAAGTATTCCTGACTCATACTACATTTTACAAGTATATTTCTTCTACCTCATATTGGTTGTTTAGTGTTAATTATCAATTTCAACAAACCATTTTATTGGTTTTTTTGAGGTCTTGTCAGTAATTCTAAACAGTTTTTTAAAACAATTAGTCCCTTTGATAAAATAAGATAATGCGATGAGAATTCTGATAACCTTCATCATCTCATTGCATTATCCAAAGTTGTTTTTTACGTGATTTACTTTCCACGAAAAACAAGTAGTTTATAAATGCTAACTTCCCCCTCTTATTTGTGCGAGGTTGTGTACTCATTGTTCAATTTATTAATTCGCGTTAGATTCACTCTTAGATCATTAATATCACAACCGTACTATCCCCAGCTTGAAACATAACATCCCCACACAAAATGTATACAGAAATTATATTAAACAATGATATACATTAAACACAGAACTTCACCTTTGCAACCACTGCATGAAATAAAGAATTGGATCAATTCCAACATAGCTGGTTCACGATTTGTTTTATATTGTTCAATCCAATCATCAACAACTGTTTGTGGAGCTACTCTTCCCGACCGTATAGCTCCATAGAGGGTATGCTCGTCTTCGTCAAGTAAGGTTCCAGCACCTACAGAACAGTAGATAAATAATTACATTAGAGATAAAAGGCAAAACAGTAAAAATAGCATTCTGGCATTTGCTCTTCAAATATTCAACGTTTTATAGTAAATCAATTGAGATGGACTCGGTTATATTTGAATAGATGAAAAGACACTCAAACATCTTCGGATCAAAAATGTTCACTTTAGTTTTTGCACGTTGCTAGTATTTAGCGCTAAAGACTGGCGTTTGCAAACTCACTTTTGGATTGTTTTACTAATGTCTGGAATTTGTTGCAGTTAAACTGGAATAAGAGAAATGCAGTGGTTTGATTGTAGATACCGTTAAGAACGAAAAAATGTTGAGATGAGAAACGAGTTGGAAGATAGACGTTTATCGCCATAAATCAAGGACAGAAGATGCAGGAACTTTACGGGTTTATTTGAAAACAAAAACTCGACTGGGGGAGCAAACATTTACGTAACTTAAGAATATCATTGGACTTACCGACATCAAAAGTTGGATGAGTTGGGGGTCTTCCCCGCCGCTTTTTAGCTGGAGGTACATAGGGAGCTGGAGGGGCTTGGAAACCAGTAGAAACATGAGGATGTTGGTTACCAGAGTGGTGAATATCGTTATCTCCGGAAGCACTGTTATTTAATTGCATGGATAAGTGATGTCCCGTATACTGAGAATTGGATAATTCAGTTGTTGTGTGGGCGGTCGTCTGTGGATTTTGCATTTGGGATGAATCTCCATGATAAGGATATACAGGTTGCTGTAAATGAGATGTATGAGTAAGGACATGTGACTGGTCTTGCAAGTGATAGGCAGAAGTGTTGTAACTATCTTTCGAGATTGGTGGGGAATGATGCGATCCATGATGATCTATAGGAGAATATCGTGGATTTGAAGTGACAGTGGGATTATTGGGTTGCAAAGGATGGGGAATTTGTTGGTGAGCAGGTATTTGAATGCGCATTTGATTTACCTGATTCAGAGGACTTGTATTGTGATTGGGGTGTGGTTTTGTTAACCGCTCATTGCTGTCATATACTTTAGTGAATAGAAACGAGTAAAATGTTTGGAAATATGAGAGATTTACACCACACATGGTAAGAGTTATTTAGCATAACTGGTCATAATGAACTCTTCATATCAGACCGAAATACGGAGTTACAGATTTTAAATGTGCAAATTAGAAAAACAACAGTATTGTGACACATTAACTTTTTTATGAATTGATGTAAGTCAACAATAAAATTATTGTTTGTGAATAAGTCAAAACAACGCTTAGCGACTGATAGATGCATTACCTAACTGCACGAACCGAAATAGGTGAAGAGCTGGTCAAAATTTAGATCCAATAGTACGGACGAACTAAACTACTAGCGAATGATGGGCGCAACGACATGAAACAGATGTCAAATTAATCTGTTTTTACATTGTAAAATGTAAGTTAGTGAGCGAAACGAAATTTGAAAATAATCTCGAATGGTATGCGCAAGCAGTTAACTAAGTAGAGGGAAATGTTATGGCTCCGTGTTTTGGACATAAAAGTTAGTTACTGGACCATGGGTTCATATCTTTCCCCACCTAGTACACCCTGCATAACTATGTATCATCTCCAGATATGATATAATAGGTGGAAATATATAACCCTGGGTTGAGTTAGTGAGTTGCAATTCCCTTAGTATCTTTAATAAACATAAACTAATATTTATACTTCAATGATCGAGGTTGAATCATTTGGCGCAAGTAATTATCCACTTAATATGTATTAACTAATGAGACAGTGGATTGGTGGTTAAATCTTTTAACCATTATGCCGCCTACTCTGGTTTTGGTAGCCGAATAGTGTTGCTAGCCTCCATAAAATGTGGCCTAGAGCTGCATACAAAAATTCAAACCTGCTAGGAGAGTTACCTTACCATGTCTTAACCCAAAACTATCCGATGAATTTCCATGAGAAAGATTTTTAGTTTGATCTGGACCAAGCGAATTCACAAACTGGCCGACTAAAGGACGCTTCCTGTTCCAAACTTCACATTTAACTCTAAAATTTCTTATTCGACTTTACTACATCCAAGACACAAGAATATATACAGCTTATTTACATAGAGCTTTAGCGGTCACACTGCATTATCTTACCCAAAGTACTGAGCTTCAAATTATTTCGTACTCTCATTTTCTGAATTCCATCTATTCTTGTTGAACTGTATTTTCCGGTATTTCGTATTTTTATTGTCGACTGTACTACCTTTTTACTATGATATCCAACTTGTTAATTCCAATTCACCCAGCTAAGTTAGTAAAACAACTTGAGAGTACTCATATTTGTCACAAGCTCTATGGTGATTATGACTGAATGACGATACTACTTCGACTTTTATTACTACCACCAGTAAAATCAGATGGCAAATGAACAGTTTTTGTATTGAAGATTATGTCATTGAGAGTCTTAGGTATGCACAAGTAATAACGCGGTGTTGAAGGTATTTAGACTATCCTATGAATGTCATCAAATAGAAATAACTTTGGAGCTGCATCACAGTAACTCAGTAGTAAGTCAAAAGTTGCCTCCAAATGCATTGGTACGGCGGAGGGTGGGGAGAGCTCGCTCCCTCTAGAAATGCTCTCACATGGCCACACGTATACAATCACTGCCGAGGAAGTGCTACTAACTACCTCGCGGCATTACTGTTGTGTACGAAATTCAGAGGATAAAAAGTGAATGTCCGGAGCTTTAACTGTGATAGTGGACACAGAGGATCCATCAAGTGGAGTTGGAAAACCCTGATTCCAAACCAATGGTGCACATAGGCTCCAGTACTTTGAGGGAACAAATGGCGTACGAACTGATCGTTGGTCACCGGCTACCATGGGACTGCATCTCCTTAAGTTGCTCCACTGCCTTGTGGATCAGACTTTTAGGTCGAAGGCTCTGGGTGTGGCCCCTTAAGAAAACCACCTGCTTCGGTCTGAGCACCCGAGCAGTATTACAGCCCTCACATAAATCAATGATAACTACTACTGGCCTCATTGTTATTGCGGCGCATATGTATGTGGTGCCCCCTTGTACCAGTGTTTGTGTCCAAATAAATAAAAGTTTGGTAACGTGGGGTTGAATATCCTGAGACAGCACTTATTGATTAGACAAACAATACACACAAAATTGTTGGACGCTGAAATGGAAGTCGTAACATGACAATTTTGCCACTAACAAGCACAAATTTAACAGCTGTCGATTAGTTCTAACGTTATCTTTTGATCATATAGACCAGCACGTCATTGACAACCAACTGGATACTAATTTATACGATAACAACCGAAATTGACAAAACTGGCAACAGATACGCGATGATCAAGCTTTTCAAATTAAACAACGTCCACATATCGTGACCAGTCAGTCAGCTACAACGTAGAGAATATAGAGTGCATACACCTACGCCATTGTGATTGATTCTGAGCCATGTCACCGTCTCCAACTATTGGTTACGATAGTCACGCGAAACTAAACCAGGTAGTCCTCACCTGTCTAAATGACTCAGTTCAAAAGTCGGTGGTTCCATAGACTAATGTCATGTCTTAGTTTGGCCTCCCTTAGCCTTTCTCCAACCTACCCCTACACCAGCTACTATCGCGAGTCAAGGTAGTCAGTGGATGGGCATACGCGACACAAGTTTTAACTAATTCAGTCGATACAGATTCATTAACCCATCAGTCGATTTGCAATTCTTATTCAGAACCTCAGGATGGCGAAATTGATGGTTCTAAGATACACAAGGGATAGTTCGAAAACATCTATGACCGTATACTAGCAACCTATAAATGTCCTCAATACTAGAAGCCATGTTTCACAGGTATAAAGTAGAAAGTAAATTTCTGATCTGTATGCCTATTCTTTCGTTGATTGACGGATATCTTGTCAATGTAAGTTGACAGAGCTAATCGAGCTTTTGTCTGACACTAATTGACTAGGGTTGTCGAGACTTAGATAAAGTGACTGGTCCACTCAACTACTTCGCTTTATACTTCAAGCGTTGACGTGGAACAGCCCTCAAGCATTATTTAGAACTTACAGGAGGGAACTTAATTTCAAATATGCCAGCATAGTTACTAAAAACGGTCAAAAGATCAAATAACTTGGAACAAATAGCAATTTAGTTGTTTTAACAGTAAACAGGTTCCGTGACAGCAACTCAATCTGATCTCAGTTATGATTTATTGTAATAGCCCCTAAACAAATGCTGTTAGAGAATAAAGCAACATGTCATAGTAGCATTTACTTTCAATATGCACTATTACTGGTATTTTCTGTTTCGTGAGGTTTAGTTCTTGAGAAGCGATCAGATGGATATTAATCATCGAACATTCAATGGACTTATAAATAAAAACTGGATATGCATTCAGTCTTTCTTTAGATCAAAAGATTCTCCAAGTTATTTAGTGCTTTTTGTTTAGAAGAATCATATTTTCTGCGTCTGATTATTACCACTATTATTACTACTATGGTATTCGTCTTGATGATTTCACTTCGTTTCGCTATCACGGTGAGACAAGTTAGACCGATGGAACATATGCTAAACTTCACGTCGCTTGTAACTGCGAATGAATTTGTAATAGATTCTATTTTATATTAAGCCAGATGGCTTTAGAGATACTCTTATATCACAATACTAAGAAAAAGCGTACACCAAAAAGTTGGTGGCATTCTGTTAAATAGCAGTGTTTGGTTTTTAATAACATCTTAATAGCAGAACTAATTGAAAACGTAACATTACATGAGTTGCGTGTTTTGATTTGAAAGATATATAGGCTACATGGATAAAAAAATATCGAACCAGAGGGTTGTCACTTGTAGTAGTAGTAGTACTATAAGCTCATACTAACCGTGTAGGGGAGCTGATTGGAAAGAACAATCCGTGACGCTATGAAAAGCATGATGCCACTTTGCGAACTCAGCAATACCATCCAGTTTACCATATGACAGTAATAATACGGTTCCCTATCAATTCTAAATAAACACTAATTTATATTTATACGTGTCCACTTCTAAAAGAGCCTACTTCACACGTTGAAAACTAACCAGAATATCTGATACGATATAGATAATATGTAGAAATGACTAATATCAAACACGTTGACATACATTCGTGTGTGTGACCAAGCTCACCAATAATGAGCAAATCACTTTGGACAGATAAAAGCGTAAACAATTCGTCAAATGGAATACAAATCCAGATTCCGAAACTATACCTTGAGGAGCGAAATGAGCTGACCGCTGATGTTGGATTTGCTGTTGCATCAAAATCTGCTGGACAGACGGGGTCGAATTGACATACGAGTCATGGACATGACCAAAATGATGGCCTTGTGACTGGATGCCAAACTGATTCGGGAGGCGGGTATTAGCACCCTCGTGTTGCAGATGCCCCGAACTAGGATGGGAAGACAGTGAACCACCAGAGACATGAGGGTGATGGGCATGGTACTAAAAAACACATTTACAATTTTGATTAATGCGTATGTCAAATGAAATTTGACAACAACTTCAGGTAATATGAAATGTACACTAGTGCACACAAGGTCGTACAAGAGTCTAATATTCGAAATACACGATAAAAATGAGGACTAACTGGAAACAGCTTTTAAAAATCGGCTAAACAACAGCTGTCATCTCACAGAAATGCTAAAAAATCATTTAAAATACACCAACCAACCTGATCCATTTGAAGGTTTACATCCATGGACGCAGCCATATTGTTTGATTTCATCGATCCCTGGTGAATTGTCAATTAAAACAATGTTTCGTGTGCAGATATCTTTCGGAGACATTTTGAAGTAACCGGAAATCACAGCATGATGCTCGTTGTTATCAGCCTCACTAACAGCTCATATATATATTGTAGATTTAGCTGGAACACTACCATCAGGTATATGTCGTTTCACTAAGTATGGGGTTTTCGAGGTTAAGTAACTGACAACTATCTGAATTGACAGCCTAGTAGAATTATTCCCTTCGTTTACTTGGTGTCAACGTCAAAATACCATAGCTTTCTCAACACACCCGCTGGTGTACGTCAATTCAGAAATGAATACTTATAATTGGTGTTGTGATAACGTCGTTTGTGTTATGCGGTTATCAAAACGGCCACGGTACCTGGATACGACTAAATAGTAATTCACGTCAGATACCAACCGTGTGATGTGATGTTAACGTTGGTTGGTTGGTCACACCATTCCCGTCTAACTCGACTAGGCCCATAATCATTCGACAAATATCATGTATATTGATTATCTGCACTGGTGGACAAGACTTCGGATAACGCAACCTATTATTATAATTTTTATGATTGGATTTCATACTTATTCTTTTTTGTCTGCATTATTACTTAACTTCGTCATTTACTGAGAAAATATTCATTGTTTTCTCTCATTTTTTATCAGTATTCGAATTTGAATAACTCGGTCGTTTGATGATAACAAACTATTCAACTGCGATTATAACCGGATATCATGGTTCTCTAACAATCACTAGAAGCATATGAGTGCTTCGTGTAATATAACTGTTAAAATATGAACTACTCATAAGTTCAACCACAAGGCAACGCAAGCGCACATCTGTCTGTAGCTTATGAATGCATGATTATAATTCATCTTCCTGCTTAACCACTTTGAACACAAATTTCGGTCACAAAATATAAACCAGAATTTTGGTTTTACTTGACCGCTGCCTGCCCAATTTTCGGTTGCTGAGTTCCATGGTCAAACACAACAGACAAATGCTAGAAATTTACAATGAGTTAGGATTATAAACTTCCTTTAGTCGCAAATTTAGGTCAGATTTTTCATTCAGTCAGTGTTACTGTAGCGGTAAATAAATCCCCAAAATAAATAGCTCTGTAAGTTTTCAACATTGGATGCTGACCACTTAGCTGAAGGCACTCGGTCATGCATCCGTACCAGATCACGAGTGGGAACGCCGTGCTCAACAACCCATGCAATCGCCAGCCAGACTGGATCAGACGATCCTCGATATATTGATAGCCTATCAAATATATCTTCGACCCTCTTCGCTTCTGTCTTTTGATTTCACTAGGTGAGTATGCTTCATATTAGACAGTGTTACCGGTTAAAACATTGTCAAAATCCGAGCGCCCTCGGCATCTTCACTACGTATCTTGCCCGAATTGTCTTTGGATCTATGCAAACTCTGTGCTAAACCAAGAATTAAATTATCAGTACTTTGGATATGATCCGAATCCCTTGGGATTTACATCATATTGAAATTCTGTCTCTGGAAATGGATATGACATACATTTCAGAAATCTCTAAACTGCATTATCAGGAAAGTGCTAACTTAGAATCCGGAGCAGAAACGAGAAACAGAAAGGTCTAAAAACATATTGCATCGAAAATCGGAGACAGACATGAGAAGAATGAGTGGTAACTAGGAAGAACTGGAAAGGATTGTCCAGGACATTGTTGAATGCAGGTTGCTGCTGAACTGACAACGCTCCTTCATGAGGAGTAACAGGAATAAGTAAGTAATCAAGCAAATAAGTAAGTAAATAAGTACTATCTGTCTACTTTAAATCCGCATTACCTAGGAGCGAGAGTAACAGGCGAGTACGGTAATTGCATTAGCTGATTTCGTACCACGTTGATGGTGCCTCATGACACTTCGCAGTTAATTTCCCGTAAAACAGTCATATATTTAGACATTTCTCTCAGGTTTTAGTCGGCATCATGTATTTTATGCGTAGTAAGTCGACATACTACGGAATAGCATGTACACAAGCAATCTCAATCAAATTCTTAAATAGATACTTCATCGTATTACCGTACGTAATACGTTATTTGACGCTAGAAAATAAGGTTTCTCGATAGGCTTCCTATGAGATAGCCACGTTATCTGAATCTAAACTTTAGTTATTTTGGTGATTACCATTTTCATTAATGACTGCTAACCGATTTGCATTTACTGTTATCCCACATAGCAAAATATGACTCGAATTCCCCATTACAAGCGCGTCATCTTAAATTAGCCGTTAGTTTATTTACATTTATCGAACGGTCCATAGAATTATACAACAACATCATCATGGTCATCATGTATATTTCAACTTCCGTATATTAACATTAGACAAGTAATATTTAAAGATATGACAACAAAAATGTTGAAATCCAAGTTCCTTCGAAATTCACGAGGCTGATGTTCCTTTCGACAACCAGAGCAGCAATTAATTTAGGTACATGGAATGCTCGCACAATGTGAGAGATTGGGAGAGTCTTCCGATTTACTGCAGAAAAATATATAATATTAGTTCATTAATAGTTCTCAGAAGTTACCCGTAGTTTAATCTTCATTAGGATATAACACATTACATATATATTGATCATAAAAAGATGAGTAGAATTTAAAGCTACTTTCCATTATACGTTAATATTCGTTAACGAATCATAAAGATCCTAGAACGATCGATTAATGTACGTCCTGAACCGTTACTTATCCATAGGGTGATCTTATCCGCAACGCAACCATGTAAACTTAATGTATCGCACACTGTCATTTGTGCGTTCAAGTAACCACAGATTTTGTCACTTCATAATGTATTTTTAATTAAATAACTAGATTATGTAGTTAATTTTTCTCTGTTTTTAATTTTTATTCGCCACGTCCGACTGCGTTACACTGTACGTCCATTGCACGCTGAGATGATATCTCAAGTCATAGTGAGTTTATTCACATAGTTGATTGTTTCCAGATAGACTGTCAGTGCATGATTTTACTGAAGAAAGGTTTGTTGTACTGTAAACTGTGTTTCTATGATAAACTCCCTGTTGTCTTCAGTATGAATTCATACTGAATACTGCTTTAAAGCAGTATATATGTATCCTTCTTTTTTTCTTAGGTAAGTTCAACTGGCCTATATTTCGTGCTTTGGTTTTATCGGCTTAATTATGTCCATTTAAATTCTTTGAGCAACATGTCTTTGCAAGTGAAACAATAACTATGACAATTGCTTAGTTTAGTGTTCGTGGTTGTCGTATAATTCAGTTTAGTTGAAAGAATTATGATATACTTAAGTATAGTGTTTGAAGCCTGTAACGAAACAGATCAGTTTAGTAAGTAGAGCTTCCTGTTTCTAATGTGTATACGGATTCAGATCAGTCTGATTAAAAATAGGAAAAAACGTGCCTTTGATGCTGTTGCTGTCATACATTATAAGATAGCGATAAGTATACTTATCGCTATATATATATGTGTTTGGTATTTATTTCTAAACTGTACATCTGTCACTGACCATATTTCATGATAACTGTCACTAAACAATTTCCCCAGCAATAAAATCGGTAGCAAGATAGCTAAGTGTCTGAGCTTTTAGTTGCCCGCAAAACAGCAGTATACAGTCTTAGAAGATGAGTGTTCTGTGTCTCAATTAAATGCAGCTGGCTGTGGACAAATGTTAAGAATCTTTTTGACAACTGGGACTTTTAGTTTATCAGAATCTCTGCTTGTATGTTGTCCTGTTAAACTAGACACAGATGCATGGGAATACTTAAATAGGAGCAAAATAATAAAAACATTGCAATACGGTACTAAGCCCATGTTATGCTTTGGGCAAGTAATAGTAGCTGACCTTATCTAATATTCATGAACTCAAGGTAAATCACAACTGCATAAATTCTTTGCTAAAAAAACATGTAATTTGGTTATTTATCTATTCCACATTTCTGACTAAATTCATCACTATTTTTGTCATTTAGAATGCAACAGGAGTGCCTTCACAGACCCTAAAAACTGTTTCGCCCTTGGAACTATGGCCCTATGGAACTGATTACGGGAGACCCAACGAATAGCAGATTATAAAAAGGATGCTGGACTTCCATTTTAGTCTCACAACCACTTCCAGTATTTTTTGACTTCTTTTACTCCTTCGTTTGGAAAAAAACAACAAAAACTTCAGCTTAACATTACCAATACAACACGCGTTACACATCCTAACCGTACCTGCGTCTTATCTTATAGCTTCTAATTCAAATGACAAGCAAGCAATGCCCCTACCCGCACTAATGGAACACTAGTAACTAAAATGCGCCCCGTATGGTACCTTACACTGGTTTACGCACTCGCTTAGCTCTTTAGTGAGAATATTAATACGGTCCTGCTGAAAATCCCATGAACCCCTTTACCTTCATCAAAACAAATAAGTCTGTATTTGCTGCATATAGCAATTTTATTATTCAAAAGTAAGAATTGGAGTAAAATGGCAGTATACAGCAGATGCACGTGGTACATGTCTTCATCGATTAACTGAAATAGAGAATACGGATATTAGCTTAACAGGCTTATTTAGAAAGACTAGTGTCTAATTTGAACTTACTGCGTGAGAAACTTATACTGGAACTACGAATGTTGTAGAAATAGAGTTTCTCGGGGCGTACGAAGCACTCAGACTGTAAGACAGTTGTCCAAAAATAATTCGAATATGAAGGTGAAAATTTGCAGGTACTTTTCATCGTAAGGGTGAACATATTAGGTACCAGTTGACATCATACCGTAAGAAAACACAAATTTGCGAGTGGTGAAATATGATCTATAAAAAAGTGAGCTTAATAACAGTTAATTACCTTCTTACTACCTGATCATGACACTTCGGCTTCCTTTTATGGCCAAAACAGCAAACATACACTAGACACTGGTAGCAGATTTCCGGCTTTTCAATGTTAAGCTTGCTTTAACGCACTGAGTAATGAGTACA